TGGGAAGTAGTTTAATATGCCAGTGTAATTTTGTATATTTTTTTAAATTAATGGTTTCAAAACATATATTTTAAGTTTATTGCTAATTTACTCTCTTGTCAGTTTATTTCTCTAATTCATGATTTCTAAATTCTAAGAAATTGTTTCATGCACAAAATTAACACTTAGAATCATCAGTAATGTGATGTTCCACTCTTGAAATGTGAAAATATTTCATCTTTTACATTTTACCTGATAGAATTTCAAGGTAGTTTCCTTGCCGGTCTTTGGAAGGAAATGCTAAGCCTGAATGATGTACCCAGCCAGTGTCACATCTCACTCAGTGGTGGCCTTTGGGAGCAGATACCTTAAAGGCAACTGAAGGCCTTTCCAAGGTGAAGTGCAGACCTGCTGGGATTTACATGTGGCATTGGTGCAGATCTGGCCTCTGTAATCGACTTTGCTGACACTTGTTCAGGCCATCCACTCTAGTGAATTGACCTGAAGTGAACCTGAGGTCAGGAATCTCATTTTCAGACTCCTTAGCAGCTCTCAAGTGCAGCCAGTGCTGAATGCTGAGGTCTAGACAAGCCTTACGGCTCCAAGTAAGGCGGTTCATGGCCTGCCTAGTACTCTTCGTGGAGGGCTGCCTTCCACCGAGAAGCCGTCACCCAGTCCTCATAGGAGTCTGTGAGGGACTTGACTGTGTACATGCAGCGTGGTACTGCCCGACAGAGTGCATGCACAGATCCCAGTGCCACTGGTACAATGCCCAGGCTGGACTCATCCCAGCCTGGGACTGGCCACTCCCTCCCTCGTTTGTGGCTCATGTGTGCCTCAGTGTGTATCCTATTTACTGGATTTGTTGTTGTTGTTGGAGTAGGGGAAACAGTGGTTATTTATCAAAAGATTACAGTTCAAATTTTAAACATTAGCCAGTCAATCTGTGCTACAACCAACCAACAAATAACAATTTTTCTAGTTGCTGAAAAGCATCTCGGTCTAAATTACTTTCTCAGAGTTTACGAAAATGGTCCAATAAAAATATTATCTCAAGGCTCACAGAATACTACTTCAGAAAACATCTCAGGTCTGTTTATGAGTCAGAAATGATTTCTGTGCTGTGTGCTAAGCTCCGCCCTTTGTTGACCTGGTGTTGGAATGTTCTCAGCTGCACTCCAGTCCCGTCACAGGCAGCAGCCATGGGTTTCACTTGGTGGATTTGGGTGGTCAGGTTTTATTATTAATAATAAACTGCACAGTTGAGTCTTTGGCAAGCTTGCATGAGCTTCGAAGCCCTAAGAATGTGGTCCTGTGGGGAGAAGGCAGCCAGCAGACCAGCACTGGGAGATGCTCTTATGTCGAGCCTAGCCGCTCAGCCATGAAGGGGATTCTTGTTTGTGCCGTCAGATGCAAATGACAGGAGGCATCTTCAGTTTGTAAACATTTGAAAAACCAGTGCAAAGTATTATCTTCTTTCTTCAGGTTTTGTTTAACTGACTTTATTCAATATTTAATGAATTGTGTATATATTTGTAAACATTTACATTGTTAAACATTTATTCTTAATCATGCTGCAGTTTACTTATTGGTAACAAATAATGAACTTCATTTGACCCAAGGTGGGTTCATAAGAGTACATGGTATTTTCCCTCTCAGGTAACAGCAGCATTACCTTTGCCAACCATGTTCCCATTTGGAGACATTTGGAATCTAAGGTAGCCATTTAGTTCCAAGAACAGGAAGTCTGTCCTCTGAGCAGAGTGCAGATAGCAGGGCACCGTGGTATGCCTTTGGCTGCAAGCACAGCCCTGATGGGCAGGCGTCCTCACTTTGACCCAGTTTGACATAAGGCCAGGCTGGGTGGTACTCGGTGACGGAGTACTTGCCTGGACTCTGTCTACAACACTGCAGGAGAGAGACACAGATGCAAAGGCTGGGGTCTGAGGTCGGCCACCCAGTCCTGAGGGTGACTTGGTCCTATTTGTGAGTCCGTGCCTTCCCCACAGGAGCAGAAGCCAAGTTGTGCCTCCATGACGGACTGGTCAGCACTGTGCCCAGCCTACTGGGTTGCCAGCCCCTGCTGTCCCATCAGCCTCCCTAAATATCCCATTGCCATCCAGGTCTGTTTCTTCTCTCTTTCTACATGTCTTGACTGCTTGCTCAGACCTCACCTTGGTGCCTGCTGGTGTGTGAGCAATGTTGTCACCACTGGCTGGGATAGCGCTGGCACCTCTCAAGAGCTCTGAAAATCTGTGTGGTAGATAAGTGATAATCAGGATGGATATGGTTAAAAGAAAAAGAAAACAATTTTGTTGTCCATTTATTATGTTTTTGATTCTAGAACATTTCCTCTATTAGAGAAATATGTAGAAAGAGAGCCTGAGCCAGCAGTAGGGAAACAGTAGGTTGTACAAAACTTTCCTTTTAAATTCGTATTGTGGAACCCAAGAACCAAGATGATTCCCTCTGAACTTGAGAAATTGTGACTCTGCACTTGCTTTGATGGTGTCATCTGTAGGCCAAGTTGGTGTTGAACCTCAAACCCTGAACTTCAGCCTTGCCACCTGGCTGCTGTCCCACATCACCATTCACCCAAGTGATGCTATGGAGTCAGGATGAAGGTGTAGCTTACAAGGACCCCAAGGCTCAGCCAGGGCCATCTCCGTGAGCACTCTTGGAATCAGTAACTGCCGTAGAGTCTCCCATTTTCTGAGGAGGAGTGTTAGTGGGTGATGGTTTGTAGAAAGTTACAAGCCTTCCTCATCATGCATACCGAGAGCTCATTGCTTGCCTACAGCATTTCCTGTCCCTCATCCTTCTGGGCATCAATTTGGAAAGACCTAGAGAGGTGGCCATGTAAGCCACTGTTGTCAAGCTCGCCACTGATGTCATCACCATCATCTGGTCTGTCAGCAGCATCCTCCATAGCATTAAAAAACTAATAGTTTCGTCACTGTAATGGTGATATTAAGTTTGCCTTATATCTGGACTTGCGTTCATTTCTCTTTTCAAGAAGCTCTTCTGTGGACTTGCTCTCTGCCTCCACCACAGCACAGGGCATTTCCTTTATTGCTGGTTGTAAAGATACTTGATGTGTTTGCAGGCATTATCCTTTTCTTGGTTTCTACTGCTTGTGTTTCTGTTCAGTGTTAACTTGTTGCTTTCAGGAGTATCTAGGGGTGTCACATGTAGAACAAACATTTCCACAAACACAGGATCCTTCCAAGTCCATGCATTGACAGACAGTTGGCCTAGAGTGCAGGTGACTAGTGTTGAAGTACAGTGGTTTCCTGTCGTAGGGCCTGCAGGTCCTCTCACCCTCCGTGTCTGTAGAACAGTGCATCAGCCTGGGCAGTTGGTCTACTGTGCAGGACCAGAGGGCGTGTACCCAGCCAAAACTCTGCCTTGGGCACGTGTCGAAGGTGAGAAGGAGACCGTCTTTCTCTGTGATAGTCGCCACTTCCAGTCCATGTGCTGAAATGGCTCTAGAGCGTGCAGAGTAACAGGAAAACGATACTAACAAACCCAGGACCAGAACAGAAGGCTGGCTGAAAGGATTGTCTCTTTGGTTGGTGGTCTTGGGGATTGAACCCAGGGGGTTTGCTAGTGCCAGTCAGGAGCCTCAGCACCCCCACCCCAAATGATTATCCAACTTTAGAAGGAAAAGTCAATGGCAGAGCTTTAAAAAACAATGAAGCAGGAAGGCTGTGGTATTTGGTGACAAAGGAAAACCCAGAATAGACTTCGTAAAAAGTAGTGTGGGGTCATCAGACTGTCCAGATTTTAACAGGAAATGAGACTAGGGCATATGTGTGCCCTTGACCTCTCCAGACCTTCACCTTACCTCTGGGCCTGAGAATACCTGCTTATAGTTTTCTTGTAAGTTTAAATGTGTAGGCTCTTGATAAATTATAAATGCAGCCTAACAACTCAAGTGACTAGGACCTGTCCACAGACCCTTCAGCTTAGCCACCCCATCACACACACACACACACACACACACACACACACACACACACACACACACAAACATGGCAAGGCAACTCCTGGGAAGAACTGAGCCAGGAGATGAAGTAAAAGCCAAACTAGTATAGTAAGTGTAGGTCCCACAGCTGTCCAGAGCTCCTCAGGGTACCAGTGGAATGTCTGCATGCAAGGAGCTAACCCTGAGTTCTGGGAAGAGGGTGTGTATCCCTGATGCCTGATGGATGGGGCAGGGTGTCAATGTGTAGAGACATTTCTGAAAATGTGTTACAAAATATCTTGAGGCTGTTTGTATGACAGGACTCTACTGGTCCTATGTGCTGCATGAAGTGTTGGGGACCACCCAGGACGGTACCTGAACACTGTACGATAGTATTCAGAAGGATGGGTGGACACAGTACTGAGGTGTCTAGCAGTAGATCTGTGGACCACAGGCTGTGCATGGCAAGTCTGGGCGCCCATGTGTAGTCCATCTCTAGGATCTTGCAGTTTTCTTCAACACAGCTTTCAGCAACAGTTACCATATCACACGACTTCCACCTGAGGGAAATGACAGTATCTGCTTGCCAAAAGAGTGTGTGGCACCAGGCAGAGGGGGACAGAGGTGCGCTTGACACTAAGGAAGCCATACACTGTAGTGTGTGTAGGACACTGGCTACCAGCTTTCCAGTAGAACAGGCCTTGTCCCTCTGGGCAGCTGTAGGAAATTCTGTTTGCATGGAACTCTAAAATAGAGTTTGCTGCTTGTTGGGTAGAAAGAGGAGCGCCACCGTGCTTCAGCACTTGGCTCTGATATTTAATGCAAGGCTATGAGAACTCCCTGCAGAAATCAGTTGCGTTAGCTAACAGAAGCCTTTTCCCTGCCGCATCTGTGTTTTAGTAGAGTGCAGTCATGCAGTGTTTGGATAGAAGACCTCCCCTTAAAGCTTCCTGGCCTTGGGAGAGCCGTGCAGAGGAGATCCCTCTTCCTGCCTGTACCTTGTACTCCCTGCCTTACACCTCTCCCCTCCTCCTCACTCTGATATTCCTCCCAGGTGCTGTGGCAAGCACCGAGGTGAAGATGAAGCTGCAGGAGTTTGTTCTCAACAAGAAGAAGGCGCTGGCCCACCGGAACCTGAACCACTGCATTTCCAGTGATCCCCGCTACTGGTACGGGTAAGTGACTTATTTGGGCCTGCTCTTGGGGTGCATGGCATACTCAGCTCTGTGGACAGCTTTGAGTGGACCCAGTTTTTCAAAGACCTAATATAGGGGTGGTAGAGATGCTGAACCCCAAAGCTCTGTAACCAGATCTGAAGGGAGGAGGTCTGGGGATGGTGTCACTGTCAGCCAGATGAGGGGTGGATATCTTCAGAGTACCAAGTAGTATTCGTGGCAGTGACCAGTCACTATTCTTAAACACCACAGGAGCCACTTGCAGAGGACTAGTATCCTGATTATCCACTGTTGCTTACTGAGTTCTAATCTAATGCTTAGTCAGAGTCTAACAGCACAGTAAAGAAACCACTCTGATACACATGGAAATGGATGCTCCATGGTTAAGGGGATGGGTTTTATTGTGGGGGGGGCGGGGGGGGTCAGAGGCATCTCTAATTGTCCAGAGCAAAGAGAAAAAGAAGTAGACTGGACAGGGCTGTCTTCAGGAGAAGCAAGAGTGAGGAGGGTAGGGGTGAGTGTTATATTATATAGAGAAGGAGGAGGAGCGGGGAGGGGAGAAGGGCCTGGAGGCTGGTGTGGACTTTGAAATGCATAACAAGTATAAATAGGACTGAAGGAGCCTGGAGGGCAGCATGGGCTTTGATATGCAACAACAGGTATAGTCCAGTGCTGGAAATGATTCCTTTCGTGGGCAGAAACCTTTTCACAGGTTCCTAAGGCATGCCGACTGTAGGCTTTTAGTGGTCCTTTGACATAGTCCAGCTTGAGCTGAGCCTTTACTGTCATTTTTAATATATACACCGCCTTTTGGGGAGTTGGAGTTTCCTTTGGACCTGACAGCATCTTTATGATCTAGATTTGGACAGAATTGGGAAGAAATATCAGCCTAGGCCATAGCATGCATAGTGGGCAGACCAAAGCAGGACCTTGTCTCTGCTGTGAGATACAAGCAGCTAACTTGTTCAGGGTAAAAAAGGCTTGGGTGGAGGCCCTGCCAGCATGGGCCATTTGTGGTGTAGTATAGAGCCCACTGAGGAGATTTGGCCGGTTCTCACATGAAGCACATGGCTAATTTGAAATTATGTTATGTTGCTCTTAAGGGTCATTCCATTGCTAGAAAGAAGCAATAGGGTAGTTTCCTACATCAAAATGTAGTCATTAATTTCATTCGAGGGAAAAAAATATCTTTTAGAAAAGATATTTTGAAACTAGAGTTTCAAAATGGACAGCTGTTTCTACTAAACCCCTCTGATCCCACTGAAGTGGCACATTTATTTGTATAGATGACCTCTGTTACTACAACACAACCTGAGGAGGAGCATTTGTACAGTGAGGCTCTTCATCGTCCCTTACATGCTCTGTGGCTGCATACACTGCAAATCTACTAAAGCAGACTACTGGTCTTCATGTAGCTCAGAAGAGGCGAGGAGGTGGACCATGAGGAGTAGTGATGAGTGGTCATGAGCAAGAGGGCCCTTGAGAAAGGCAATGTGAGGAGCCAGAGAAAGCCTTAGCCTGTGGTGTGGTCTGCAGCCTCCGCTGGAGAGGTCAGCCTGGGCTTCTGCCATGCAGAGGCTCCACTGTCCTACATTTACATGTAGGTGTAAGGATGGTCAGGGAAATGCAGCCAAGGATAGCAGTTGGGATGATGATTTGGGGGTGGACACAAGGATGCAAGCTGGAAAGGGCAGCAGGGCCAGACAGGGTCTAGGAGAGATAGCGGGACCTGGAAAGGGAGAGCTGCCTAGGGCAGGTTGGTACCAACTTGTTAAAAGATTGTCCTCACACCAGGGAGCAGGGGGAGCCCCTTTAGAGGAGAAGAAGATGGAACAGCTCAACTTAGGGACTAGGAAGTTCAGTGGGGGTGCTGTTACAGGAAAATACAGGACTCAAAGAGGCACCTCTGCAGAAAGTGGCGTTTGTGAGTTGAGTTACAGCCCCAAGAGGGCAGTCACAGTTGTGTAGACTGATGGGACAGCTGAAGCAGAAAGGGGTGGGGAGAAAGGCTGACAGGAACAGGGGCAGTGGAGGTAGATGTGGCTGGGAGCAGAATTCAGCCAGCAGGAGCCTGCTACAGGTGAGCAGTTATAGAGAAGGGAATTGGGTACATACTGAGAGATTGAAGGTATAATTCCAAGAGGGGAGGGGAGAGTGGGAAGCCTTTTCCCAGAACTTTGTCCTGAGCAGGATGCTCCAGGGAGGTCCTAACCTGCACAAGACCCTCCCACAGTTTGGGAGCAAGCTGGCTAGAAAGGGCAGAACTTGATAACCAGACACACCATCCAGGAAACCAGCTTGTTTTTATTGAGTTTGATAAACATGTAAGGATCCTGACCAACCATCATGGAAGGACTACTCATGTGCAGTGGCTGATTCATTGTAAGACATGTTGGCAGAACACAGTCTTCAAGATAAAGAGACAAACCACTACCCAGCTTCACACATCACGTGGTGATTGCCAGTAGCAGTTGAAAGACAGTGAGGTCTGAGCATGAGGGCCAAGCTGACAAAACTTCTAGAAGGAAGCATGAGGGGAGGGGCTTCTTTCCAGCAGTGAAATTACCCTTAGAAGTTGAAGTGTAACAGCTGGTGAAGTCTCTTCTTCAGTGTCATGAGCTGTGAGCCCATTACTGGAAGCAGTGAGACAGCATCAGCATTTAAAGCAGCTCTTTGAAAGGCACCTTTGAAAAAAGGGCGAGTGATCGATTAGAAGGAAACCCTTCAGTGTGCATCTATAAAGTGCTCGTGAAGCTGCAGCAGCTTAGCATGCATGTGGCAAAGATGGGAACAGTTATGCCACAAAATAGGCTGTGTGCGTTGCCATCCCATTGAGATGCCACTTCTCACCTATAGGGCTAGCTAAACTTTTAACAGATCAGGGGTGGCCAGGTGGGGTGGCCACTCCTGCACAGATGGCTGGAGGACGTTAAGTGGTAGAGTCCCATTGGAAATGGTTTAGCAGGTTGTAGAATGATACCCAGCAGTATATTTTCTAGTATTTGCCCAGGGATGCAAGTACACACCCAGGCTTAATCTCTGTGGTCCTAGCCGCTGAAATAGAAATGACCCAGAAGCCCATAGCAGGTGAAGTGGCCTGATAGGTTGGGTCACCATGCACTGCAATTGTGCAGCAGTGTGGAAACCTCACACACAGTGTCCTTAGGCAAGGCAGACGCATAGCCACCCCTTACCACTCTAGTCATGTAAAACTGGACTCAGCAAAACAAAGCTGGAGAATCACCAGCAAAGGGACAAAGGGGACAGTCTGGAATTGGGACTGTTCAAAGCCTGATTGGTGGTGATAATCCATGGAGGGTGGAGAGCGTCCACAATTTGAGCCTTAAAACCTCTTCTGAGCCTGCACAGTGCAATGTGGTTGTCCATGCATTAGCTCCCAGGTCTGTGAAATTGAGGCTTGCAGAAAATTCAGACCACAGGATTTCCATGAATAAGCTTCATGTTAATTATATGTTGAAATAGTATTTTTATATCTCAGGTTAAGTAGAATACTAAAGTTAATTTCACCCATTTTTTTCCCTCATTTTTATGTAGTTACTAGAAAATGTAAATTACATGTGTAGCTCACACATTTCTGTTGGAGTGATGTTACACTTGATTAACGAGTTTTATTTATTTTAAATCACTGGTATAAATCTGATATAATAGGAAAGGCTAGTTGTTGATAGAATTTAAATGCTTGATTTTGTGTTGTTTTAGTCCACATTCAAGGTGGTATTTTGAAATAAAACATCAGTATTTGTTTTTCTATCTGAAGTTATATGAGAACTGCCCTTATTTTATTTATTTATTTATTTATTTGTTTGTTTGTTTATTGATTGATTGATTGATTGATTGATTGATTGATTGTTTCCCTGGTGCTGGTGGTGCTGCTGGGAATTGAACCCCAGGCCTCACAAATGCTAGGCAAGTACTTTTCCACTGAGGTACATCCCCTACCCCCAGAGATTTCCTCTTTAAAAAGGCCTGGTCAGTGAACCAGCATCTTCCTGCCAATTTTGTCTGCACCCTAGGCTAGAAATCAGGGAGAATTAGAAGCTGTTCTGTGATCCTAACCTTTGGAATATGAGGGTATGTGAGTCTGTGTGTGTGTGGGGGGGGGAGTTGTGAGTATGAACTTGCCCGGTGGTTATGTTAACAGGTGTCAGTGATAGTGCATGAGGTTGTAGGAGTTACGGCGTGCAAACTTAGCCAGGGAGAGGGTTTTGATCTTGGCCACACATCTAGATCCTTCCTTGGTGAGTTTATTCCAGGGTGAGCTGAGTTGGCCTGGCATTTAGAGGCCACACCAAGACTATCTGCTGGCATTTCTTCCCAAGTGGCTGCTTGTTCCTGGCATGCAGAGGGAGAAATGCGAAGGACCATGGGTAAGGGGGCTGCTCCTTACAAGTGAGCTGGTAATGGGAACATGAAGGTCCCCTTCTGTGATATCTAGACTCCCACAGAGGCCCCACTGGCTGTCCAGCACAGCTGCCAGCTCCAGCTCTGAGAATTGTTTGAGAGGACAAGGAGGTAAAAGTGCTGAGAGCTGTGGGCCTGGCCTGAGGCAGGTCATCCGTAGCAGCCTCGCATTTCAGCTCACTTACAGGCTGGGCAGAAAAGTGGGTTTAATATTGACAGCATCTTGTGGGATGAGATCAGTAAGAGGAGATCTACTGGATCTGGAGTTACCAGTTTCCAGCTGTTCTTCAGTAGGATGAAACTGTCCTGTCATGAAACATAAAAATGGTATTGTGTTTATTACATTTCTTTTAATTCCCATATTTAAATTATTTTCCTATAGTTTACTATCTTTTTAACCCATACATGTGAACATACACACACACACATACCATCTGTTTGTAGGAAAGAGAAAAGGGGTACCATTGTAACTTAGCATTCAGGTCTTCAGGGATGCCCTCTTAGATTTGTGTCTGAGAGTCCCTTCATCCATTCTTCACATTATATGCTTTCAAATATCTAAATATACACTTGTGTATGTCTGAGAGCTCCCACTCCAGGTTCACATAACTCCAGATGTGTGGGTGCCGAGTACTATGTATTCACATAAGTCATTTGGCAAAGTCTGAACTAGAAAGTGGGCAAATGCGTTTTGAGCCTTTAAGCAGATCTCCCGTCTTCAAGACTACAGAATGTTTCATGTTCTCAGAATTCAGAGGAAAGCTTGACTAAAGGTCATCTAGGATGGCCTCAGTGCCCTAGACTTACCCTGCAGCCCAATTCCTGCCTCCTCCTCTTCCTCCCCCTCCTCCTCCCTGTTCTGAGCATTCATCCACTTGCAACCTTTCCCATTTGGCCGTTTTTAGGACTTTAAGTTGTGCATAGCAATTAGAAGTTCACTTCCTGTAGTAACTCCCAGGGTAGAGATTTGAGCTGCTGCTGAATTATCCCAAAAAGGAGACAGCTGGGGGATTTGTTGTAGTGGATGTGAGTGGTGGACATATTCTGCACAAGGAAAATCCTCCAGGGGCCCTGTGCTTGAGGAGACAGACAAATGTGGGCATTACCAGCACCTGCTAGTGTCTGTGCTGACCCCATCTCACTGCCTGCAGCCTTTCTTGTTATTTCTCATGCCTGGGCCCACTGATCGTCCACTGCTTGCACCCTGAAGACAAACCATCTGAGGACGTCGGAATCGCAGAGGGCAGGTCTGGGCAGAGAATGGGCCATAGGGCACACAGACAGGGCTGTGGGTACTGTTGCGTGTTTTTTTGGTTTACTCTCACCTCACTCCTGGACAAGAGGGGCTAACAAAAGGTCATGTTTCAGAATTTGGTATCCCAAGGCTTGGGATGTCTGGGCATGCTGATATCTGTCTTTGCCTTTTTCCAGGAAGACACAGCACAGCTCTCTTGACCAGAGCTCTCCGCCCCAGAGTGGGGTGTCAGCCTCCTACAACCACCCAGTCTTGGGAATGTATGACGCCAAAGATGACTTCCCTCTTAGGAAAACAGGTCAGTGTGCAGTCTGCTGCCTGAGTACCTCCATCCTGGCTGCAGTCCAGGGACCCCTGTTGAGCCACAGGTAGTGCTTTGGCATCTTGTGCTAATTTAGGGTAATGGCTTTTGCATTCAGACACTCTTTTTAAAATGACCCTAAGCTTCCCTATTTGATTGATCCCCAAAGCAATGAGTCTCATACATGTACTCCTGCAGTGTAGAACTTGGCCTCATCCCCAGAGCACCTTGGGTAATCCCCTCTTGGTAGTATGCTCTACAGTCCAGAATAGGGTAGTTCCAGGACTAAGACAGTTCCTGTGGATGTGCTGGCTAAGGGCAGTGAGTGTGTAACCCTCTTTATGGCCTTTGGGTAGCACCCAGACAGGGATGATCAGGGTACCCAGAGTGAAGGTGTGCTGGGTCCTGCAGGGACACCCCTGCTAGCCCACAGCTTTGTGCATCAGCTCTCTATGGACAAAGGCTGTAAAGGGGAGTAGACTGTTGTCAAAACAAGGGGAATATGGTAGATCACAAGACAAGCCAGGACACTCTTCGTTTTCTTGGGTGATGATTGTGGAGGACAGGGACTTAGAGAAGGGCAGAAGAGGCTGGGGACAGTGCATTGGGGTGGCAAGAGAGAGGTGGGCTTTCTGAAGGTTGCTCCAGAGGGTGTGGAGCTACATAGTCTCAGCCTTTATGGTGGAGGTGTAGCCTCAACCTTCAGAGCCGTGCAGGGCAGTTCCTTCTGGGCTTCCTTCAGAAATGAGGTTTGAGGGGCATACCTGCTTTTACTGAGCAAGTCAGTGAAATCCCAAGTTTCTCTTAGCTCTAAGCAAGGCTGCACTAGAGCCATGTGTAGTGACTTCTTCACAGGCATCACAGAGATGAACAGGCTCACCTTTTACTCTTTCCTAAGCTAGGAGGTTTCAGAGGACACTGAAGTATGATTTGGCAGGCTTTGAGCAAACAGAAACCAGGGACTGGTCGTGGAATGGAGGGACATTTTAGCTCGGCCTAACCAGGACTTGACTGATGTTTGAAGTGTGTGAAATAAAATGGCCATGTCAGGTTTGTCCCATTTCTGGTGGATATGGATAGGGTCTTGCTATAGAAGGATGAAGACACAGCTTAAATGCAGAGTAGTCAGCTCTCACCAAAGAATAGACCCTCCTGAAGACACCCGAGACCACTTCCTCCAGAGGTCAACAGGAAGAGACAGTGCATGCCTCTGTCCTGTCTAGCCCAGAGCACTAACTCAGCAAGACTGCAAGCTCTTGCCCCTCTCCTGCAGATGGTGTGGTAGTGCTCCTAGTCTCTTGTAGTGCTTCCAGTAACTTGTAGCATACTCCCTGAGAGATTGTCAGAACAGAAGACAGAACACTTACATCACTAGCCACTGCTGCTCACCACAGCCATGTGGCCCTCATTGGTTGTCCATGGGGCCCTAAGGCTTCTCCAGGAGTTTCAGTCTACCCACATTGGTCCTTGTGCTAGGCTGCATTTCTCTGGGGACTTTTGGAAGCCAAGCCACTGCCGTGTTGACTTCTAGCCTTGTCATACAGCCCACCTACAGACCCCACACCCTGAGAATAGAGGAAAGAATGCTTTTCACACTCTGGAGAGACTCCAGAAAACCTTCATTAAGGTTTGGTTACATTCCAACTTTTAAGAGGCACCACCAACTCATGAATAATATTAGTAATAAGGATTCCAGAGAAAGCATTTAATTTCCTACAGTATTCAGAGAAGTGGCCTGCAGAACACTGAACATGGCTTCTTCCAGCCCTTGATGTTGCCAATGCTGAGCACACCTCTGTGTGTTTCTGATGAAGTGGGGGTATGAAAGACACAGTGAGTGGGGTTAACTGCATGAGGTACCATGATCAAGTTACAATGACAGTCTCAAATAACTCTGAATAGTTCCTGCCTCTGACTTGACACTAACTTATGTTGACTTTGCGTATAGTTTGCCCATCTCAGTCCTTAAAGGATTTTAATCTTTATACAAAGTGAAATAAACCCTTAGCAATCTTGCGCTGCTTTCTTCTGAACTCCAGGCTTATTTGCATAGGCCTTGCTGGGCTCCCTGGGATAGCTGCTCACACATATGCTGTGTCTGTCTTCCTTCTCTCGTGAAAAGAGCATGCAGCTTGCCTGAGCTTTCTCATGCTCAGAGCTCAACTGTCTGAGTCCATCCCCAGCTACTTCACACATTACTGGCTTAGGAGACCCTCTTACCTCCTCAACCCCCAGCTGCTCTGAAAAGCAGTTGAGTGAGTCAAGGAAGACCCAGAGAAAGACTTTGCTCCATATCCTCCAGCTGTTAGATGGTCTGGACTCCTTCCACCCCGTGACTTGTCCTACCAAGCCTTCCCCTCAGCTCTCCTTAGCAGAGGGCCACATGCAAATAACCCAGCTCAGTAGCCCAGGCCTATGGCATCTGTGTGCACCTGATGATTGTCAAGGCCCTTGGCACCCCAGGCCCTGCTGCCCTCGCCTTTACCTGCTTCCAGGAGCTCGGAGCGAGATAGTTTTCCAAATACAGGTTCTACTGTCAGTTCTGTCCCATAGCCCAGCTCTGACTTCCTATCAGAGGCCTCGTTCCTTTCTATATTATTGACAACAGTGGTGTCTCTGCTGCAGGGTCCCTCTTCTATCAGAATTCTGCCTGTAGTCTCAGGGAGGGTGGAACCTGGTCCCTTCCCACTGCTTCTGGGTACCCTAAAGAATTACCTTCAAAGCTGGAAAGATGGCTAGGTGCTTAAGAGCCCTGGCTGATCTTTCAGGTTCAATTTCCAGCACCCACATATCAGCTCACAACCATCCGTAACTCCAGTGCCAGGGGATCTGATGCCCTCTTCTGGCCTCAGAAGACAGTGATGCATGTTACTAACATATGGAGGGAAAAACACTCATTCACATAAAAAATAAATTAAAATAGAAAAATATAACTAATTAAAATGTTAAGTTATCCTTACTGGATCTTTAAGGCCTTTTTAAAGACACTAACAGTGATTTTCCACACACTCACAAAAGCTAAGGTGTAGCAAGGACTTGATTGGATCACTGATACATACCCTCATTGACAGGATCCTTCCTCCAGTTTGTGCTTGTTCTGGCCCATTTTCTGTTGCAATCACAAAATCTCCAAGACCAAAACAAACAAACAAAAATGCATAGGGAATAAAGAGTTTACTTGGCTCTTGGCTCTGGAAACCAGGAAATTTAAGAACACAGACCCAGTATTCACTCGGCACTAGGCAGGGCTTCCTGCAGTGTGGAAACTGGCTGTGGTAAGGGTAAGCTTTTGTCAGTTCGAGTTTCTCATCTCTTCTCATGAACCCATCAGAGCCAACCTGCCTTTACTTCTCTGGGAAGCTGTTTAGGAAACCTGCTTAGTCCCCTCTTTCCACAAATCTTAAGTCTGCGCTTTGCCTCAGCCTTTTTCCAAAAGAAGGTTCAGTTGCTCACATGATTCAGGCCAGAGTTTCCTCAGAACCCTGGCCTCTGTGAGTCCTGATTGTGTGTGTGTGTGTGTGTGTGTGTGTGTGTGTGTGTGTGTGTGTGTGTGTGTGATGCCACATGGAAGTAGGGGACTTCTCCCAGGATTCAGAGAGGTTAAGGTGACATCTCACAATTTCACATATCAACATGTTGCCCAAGCTTGACAGGATAGACACGAGGGGTTCTGGCAGGTTGGCTGGCTGGGCACCTCATGCTGTACTTCTCTGGAAGTTGATGGCTGCAGAGTCCCGTGCTCTTTTGAATCAGGGTTTCCCACTAGACTGCTGAAGCTTCTGGCTTGTGCCACCCCAGGAGCAGGGAGGGTCTGCACTTGCTTGCAGAGGATGGAGTTCCAACGTGGCCTCGCAGTTGCAGGTTCTTACATGACTCTGTCTGCACAGGAGAGCTGTTTACAAAAACCAAGCCAGATCCCAACCTCAGCTGTGCCTTTAGCTAGTGTCAGCAAAGAAAGTCGGGGTCCGAGCTCTACTTCAGTGAGGAGAAGCAGCCTAGCCAATCCTACGCCTCATGCTTTGGAGCTTCAATTGACCTTCGTAGAGGCTGCCGGAATCTGGCTAGTGTTTGCTCCTGGACGGTGAGACTCAGGTGTCTTCAGGTGAACACCAAAGCCGGTGATTTGGAAGCTGCGGTGACGTCACGGTTGACAGCCTGAAAGGTGCCTTTGTCAGCTCTCCTCAGGTTTCAAAGCAGCCCCACTTTAAAATTACAGTTGAATTGTTTAGGAGACCATTATTTGAGAGGCATCCTCATAGAGGGATGGTTACACCTCACTGGTTTCTTGCTGTGCCCAGTGAATCAGTGACACTTTGGTAATGTCATCAGGGTGGGTGGAAGCACACACAGGTTGCCCTGACTCCCAGCCTACTGCACCCATGAATGGGGCTAACAGGAGTGAGCTAACAACAGAAGAGCCCTGCTTCCATGTTCTACTTAAGTGGAAGTTTAAGTGCATATTTTAAACCACCAGTGTGATGCCCTTGACCCCGGCTGTGTCTGCCTGGCTATAACGACATCTCCTTCCATACAGCTTCTGAACCCAACCTGAAATTACGGTCAAGGCTTAAGCAGAAAGTAGCTGAGAGGCGGAGCAGCCCCCTGTTGCGCAGGAAAGATGGCCCTGTGGCCACTGCTCTAAAAAAGCGACCCCTGGATGTCACAGGTATGTCAGGGAGCAGGTAAGCCCCCACCCACCCCACCCCATCCTAGCACACACACACCCTGCACTCTGACACCTCTAGCAAATGTGTCTCAACCCAACACAGTTCCCTTATGCAGTCCTGTTCAGTAGCACTGTGCATGCCGGCCCAGCCACCCGGAGGTGGGGGACTTGAGTGGCTGGTCAGGTCCTGCTTCCTGGCTTGGTTCCCTGAGAGGGCTGCCATTGGGCCCAGGTGAGAGAACTGTCTTGCCTGGTGTTTCAGGGTTAACCCAGAGCTTCTCTGAAGGTGGGTTTAAAACTGCCCTGTTCTTCAGTGGTGATGGCATGTTTCTGCCTGCTTTCTACTGTGCACAGGCATCATGGGGCCTTGGAGCCTTCTAGATTGTTCCTCACCAGTGTGTCCAGCTGAGCAGAGGAAGAGCAAGGAGCTCAGCTAGTCACACTGCAGTGAACAAGCTGGTCCTGCTGGTGGACAAGCCCAGGATACAGCCCTCCCCACCCCAGGAAGTTCCTCCCAGCACGTCCCTCTTAGGTTAAGGAGCTCACCCCATCACCTAAAATGCTAGCATCTAGGAAAAAGGAAGCTGTCAGAGCTGACCTGGAGGGTGTACCCACCTTGAACACGCTGGTTGAAGGCCAGGGTTCCAGTTGTTGGTCTGTGAGTAGCAGCTGCCCAGTGAGTTACAGTGTGTTTTAGTGTATGTGCTGATGTCCCAGGGACAAAAGGCCTCCTGTGCTGCCTCCTTCAGAGCAAGTACCCAAGTCTCACATACCTGCCCTCAGGACACAGGGGTGTGTGGCCTTCTAGACACAAGGCCAGTGTGTCCCTCACTCCAGGACTGGCTTGTAGATCTTAGGTCTGTGCAAAGATCATGTCACTTGTGTACCTGGGAACTCCTGTTTGTCACGGTCTTCCTTTCCATGCAGCTGTCTGTCGCCTGCTTGTTCTCTTAGAAACACCTCATTTTTATCATGTTCTTCATGCAGCTGTCTGTCCCCTGCTTATACTATTAGAAATGTCTTGTCTAGAGAGACCAGACATTAGAACCCACACTCACCTGTCCTTCACTGGGAAATTTAGTTGGGCGTTGTAGGGGCCTGTCAGAAATTGTTCATACTGGTGTGCAGCCTACTGCTTGTAGCAACCCCTGGTGTGAGCCAGTCCTTGCATGTGCCTGGGCTCTGTGCTTTCACTGACAAGATGTTTGTGAGGCAGGGTCTCTATAGCCCATTCGGAGCGCCACACACCTCAATGGCTGCTACTGCTTAATGCCAGTTGAGAGTCAGTTGAGACCGGGTTGGGCCCAGACACAGGGAGAAGAGGTGCCTGCTCTCTGGGATCTTGCTGTCTAAGATGAGCCCAGGGAGATGGCCTGGGGAGCCAGCACGACAGCACTGAATTGTCATGGTCATTGCTGAACTCGGTTAGATGGGAGTCTGCACTGAAGCCTAGGGCAAGGTCAGTAGAAGCCATGCTGGCTGTGTAAAGCTGTGGAGAGGAAGGTGGGGTCTGGGCTACAGCCTGATGGATGAGTGAAATTGGGGAGTAGACTGTGCTGCCCAGGCCACTGTAGCCACCTGGGCAGCTGCAACAGGAAAGGTGCCCCAGTTAGGGCTGTTTTCAGGCAGCGGACAGAAGGGGACTCTAGCTAGGGTTGCTTCAGGTAGAACAAGGGAACACCAAAGGTCTGGGGCAGGAGAGGCCTACACCCTGCGTGGAGGTCCTGAGATGGGCCAGGGGGCACAGCAGGTTCGCACGCTGCTGCTCCTCCTGGCTGGAATGAAGTCCACGCTGGTTGAGGAACAGGAAGAAGCACCGCTGCTGCCTGATCAGGGTTCACACTGAACCTGCTTCTCCCATGCTCTTCAGTATGTGCATGTGCTCACCCCACAGTGAGCGTGGACCTCTTACTGGACAACCATATCTCCTCCTCACTTAATAACTGTTGCAGGGACTTTTGACACCCTCATTTTGCTAATGTAAATAACACAGAAAGCCATGCATTATGTGCATTTCTGTAGACAGATTCCTAGAACCAGAATGAATAGAGTACTAAAACATCAGTTTGCTAAAAGTAAAAATCATAAAGCATACCCATACTTTATTGCCCTACAGTGCAGCATGTAGGTGAGAGTGTTTATCTGCATACCCCCAGGAGTATGTGCCTAAGGAGGACTTGCTGCAGCCAGAGACAGGCTGAAACAGCAGGGAGCGTAGTCCCAGGGTAGAGATCCAGAGCTGAGCCAAGCGTGAGTGCTAAGAAGTAAAATGGAAGCACCTCTGCGGTCCAGCTAGGCTCTGGAGCTCCCAGCTGGTACACTTCAGGGAAGTACAAGCACACCAAAATAAACTAGTTGGCATTTGGACAAGAGGGACAGGGATAGACTGAGTCCTGTGCTCACGGTCAATGTCTGTGGCATGGTTCTTACCACAGTACTGGATACAGAGTTCTAGAGTGGAGGTAGGGTGTAGGCAGCTGCTAGAGGGTGAGAGGTGACCTCAAGTTACTGGTGGATGAGCCCCTCCAAGAGGACCAAGCGTTCCCTGTCTGCCAAGATGAATGTGAGGATATCTTTGCCCTAGCATACTTAAGTCCAGGGCAAGTGAAGTCACTATGGACAGCTTCCTCTTGTGAGTAGGGTGAAAGGGTGCCCTCTTTAGAACTCAGGCCAAGCTCCTGCTAGCTCTGGAAGGCTGTGACATGTTTGCTCCAGTCCTCTCCTCCTCTGTCTCGCAGCACTATACTTCTAGACAAATTTCAGAATCAGCTGTGCAGGAGCCCTGTTAGCTGGGTGGGTGAGTGGCTGTGCTCTGTTAAGGAAGGGTGTCTCTGAACCCCTTCGGTGGCCCACTGTGTCTAAATTTGGGACTAGACTCTGATCTCAGAGTGCTGTTGATGATGGACAGATACCTGGACTTTTCAGGAAAGCAGTTCGTGTCTTTAAGAAGTGTTAACCAGATGGTGCCATTGTCAAAGCACCCCTGAGCCAGACATCAAAAGCTCAGTATCTGCCCCTGAGCATAGAAAGTAGCCACCCACTCTGTGTGGTTGGAGATAGCAGCAGCCAGCCCATGGGTGTGAAGAGCATTGTGCCTGGCCCACTGATCAGAGTCAAGCCCCAGACATGTAAATAAATATCTGTTAAGACTTTGTGTGATTTCAAACGGCATTGGTGAGCTGCAGAAGCCACTGCCTGTGTGTCCTGGCCCTAGGTGGTTCATAAGTAAAGTAAGAAGATCGCATGTAAACTGAGCAGTCATAGTAGGTTGGTTTAGTTTGAAATTGTTTTTAGAGAGACAATGAATTTGACCTTTTGCTGTTATTAAAAAAAAAAAAAACACTGGGCCTTTGTGTTCACTGGTCTGTTTTCTGAATATTAATAAGTGTTTAAGGGCTTACCTTTCTGATGTTTCAAACCATTTTGAAATTCAGAAGAACTATGGAATGGGTAATGTGCACATTCTGAAGGGCTCAGCCATGCATACACAGAGCTTCAGCTTTGGGAGGCTCATGGGAGGTCAGCAGTAAGCCAAGACCAAGGGAACCGTGTGACCATCCCTGCTTTGAAATCCTGCCCTGTTCCGTGTGCCAGTGGGCTAGGAAGCAGAAACCCAGGGAAGCGGTAGGGCCCTCTGTGTCTCTCCAGTGCCCAACCCCAACTGCTGTCTCTCATCTGCAGACTCCGCGTGCAGCAGTGCCCCTGGCTCCGGTCCCAGCTCTCCCAATAGCAGCTCTGGCAACGTCAGCACTGAAAATGGCATCGCACCTACCGTGCCCAGCGCTCCAGCTGAGGTGGGTCAGTCACAGACTCATATAGGTCAAGCATTCCCACCAGTTCCTGCCTTGTGCCTGACTTACCAGTGAGGACCAAAGCATGGGAGTACCCTGGGGAGGGCCTTCCAGGCATTACTCCCCCATTCTCCTCATCCTGGTCTTCCTGAACCGTGAGGACCTCAGTCCCACCATATTGAGAGCTTCCAACCTGCCCTTTCCTTGATCCTCCCCAGATCTGTCTCACACACACTGTGTGCAGAGGCACGGGGGGGGGGGGGGGGGGGGGGGGGGGGGGGGGCGAGCAGCAGCATGTGAGAATGGTTGTGGAGTGGAAAAGACATTGGAGAAAGACAAAAATTACCGCAGCCAACAAAACAAACATTGCTGGTGGACACTAATGTGGGAGAAAGGGAAGGATCAAAAATGAGAAGGCAGGTCCAAGGTACCTTTCTAGAACAGTAGGTCCCTGCATCTGTACTTAATCCATACTTCCCATTACTCCACAGTCATCCTGACCCTCATGCCCGGCCCAGGATACAGCAGCAGAGAGGGCCGCTCTCCGAGTTTCCCGTAGGTGAGGAAGGCAGGCCCTGACCAGGCTGTGGGGGAAACAGAGGAGAGCTCAAACTGTCCCAGTGGCCTGCTACAGGCCAGAGTGGAATAGAACGCCCTGAAACAGCCTCTTGAATTGAGCCAGAGCTGCTGTGTGCGTGTAGTGGCTGGGAAGTTTCTTAGGAGCGCCTAGCTTACAGGAGTCAGTCATTAGTAATGTGGTTACTGACTTCCCTGACGGTTTAGGAGCAAGTCTTGCCCTTCCAAAGAGCTGATAGCCTAAGGAGATGCATAGGTCCAGCGCTTAGCATTTTCATTTCAGATGTCTAGTTCCTTTATGTCTACAGAGTTAGAAGTGAGGGTCACGCAAGAAGTGAGGGTCACTCGGTTGCGCCTAGGTCCCTTTTACTTTACACTTCATTCTCTCATCGCTTGTATTCTTTAGTCTTCCAGTTCAGTACTTCTTGGGTTGTTAGAAGTCTTAACAGTCTTTCTGTAGGACTGAGGTCATGGCTGAGACCTACCTGTAATTAGTCTCAGAGCACAACCACAAAACTGCTTCCTGCCCTCGGATGTTAACTCTGCTTCCCTCTTGTTGGTCGTGGGCCCCCATACATATGTGATGTGGGCAGTTAGATGCATCACAGTAGTGTAACAGCTCCTCATTTCGGTGGAGCACCACTGCTCTGGCTTAAGTTGTGTGTTAATCTTTATAAAGCCTAAATATGTAAATTGAGCCACCACAAATCAGTAGAGCATACGGAGCATCCCCAAGAACAGTAAGATTGCCACTGTTTCTCATCAGGCTGTCATTGTCACAGGCAGAGCTGACGTTTGAGTACTGAATCACATGTGAACATCCCTTTTGAATTTCAGATACTAGAATTGAATGAGCTGTGGCTGAGGGCTTCTCATGTATGAGCTATGCCTGGTGGGGTCCTTGGGAAACCTCAGCTGTATCCCAAAGGCCTCTCTCTGCAGAAGTGCTGGTAGCTAACACACCTCTCATTACAAACTGCATGTGCTCACACTCCTGCAAGGTATGCACAGGTTCTGACCACTGGCCCTGATTTACAAAGGAACCACAGAACTCCCAGGAAACTAACAAGCCCACCCTGAAGTGGACGGAGCTCTGAGGGGATCTTTCTACAAGCCCTCAGTGTGCTCCCCACACAAATACCCATGTTCTGTGTGAGCAATTGAACATAACCAAGCAAGTTGCTTTAGTTCCACAAGTAAAACAGCCAAGCAGCCACCTGAGTGCTAAAAGAAACTTTACCGCCGGGCAGTGGTGGCACACACCTTTAATCCCAGCACTTGGGAGGCAGAGGCAGATGGATCTCTGTGAGTTCAACTATACCTTTGTAAACATTAGCTCTGCTCATTTGTTCTCAGCTTATTACATTACAGTGCAGCCCTGCTCTCCATGACAGCTAAAACATCTTCCCTGACGTGAGATCTAAAAGTACTTTTACTTTGACACATGCACAGTATGCATGTACACACACACAGCCCTTTGATGATTACTTACGTTGTGTATGCATGAACTTTGTTAGCAAACCTCATGGTGGCTAGAGTCCTTGCTCTGGGCCAAGTGCACATAGAAGGCAGCTATCCTTCCTGCCTCCTGTCAATCACGTAAGTCAGGGTCTCTGACATGAACCCTAGGAAAGTGGCCACCTGTCCCTTTGCAGGAAGGAAGAAATTATTGTCTGGCCAGGGATGCAGACAAGTGACCATTGTTCATCAATTAAGCTTATGTACTTTTTTTTGTCCTGGGAATGAAGTTTTACTGTGCTAAGACTGTTTCCCAGCCTTAATTACATAGTACACTAGAAGAACTAGGAGATAATGAGATTGCCTATTCATGGTAAACACCACATGATGTCTACGTATACCTGCCTCAGGCCAGGAACCAGCATCCTGTAGTCTCGTTTGTTTGCTCATTGGGTGTGCATGGAAGGTGTCCAGCGTGTAGGGATGGTAGAGATAAAACACAGTCCTTCTGAGCAGGGCCTATCCATGTACCTGCAAAGATTGATAGGGACATACTGGAGTACTCCAGACAGTTGGACCTGTCCCACCCCCACCCCAGGCAGAAATAGTATAAAACTAACCTTGGCTACAATCCTAGATATAACACTCTGTGTTCACTCTAGCATTAACCATAAACCTAACCCTAGTACTAACTATAACCTAGCCCCAGCCGTACCCAAAATCTTAACCCTATGCTAAACCTAAAACCTCAACCTGAACCCAACACTACGCTAAAGCTCTACACCTAACCCAAATACTGACTGGTGCTAACCCTGGTCTTAACTCTAAACATAGCCCTAATTCAACTTTAGCACTAAACCTACCCCTAACCCTAAACCTAACACTGGCTATAACTGTAGACGTAACATGAATACTAACCCAAGCCCTAGCACTTACCCTAAACTTAATCCTCGCTCATACACTAGCCCTAAATGAAACTATAACCCTGCCTCCAGCCCAAACTCTACAACTAGGTCTAAAACTATCCTAAGCCCTAGTTCTAACACTAATTGTAGCTCCTGCACTGACTATGCCAAGTTGTAACCTAACCCTATCCACAATCCTAACCCTAAACTTAGCTCTGTCCCTAAACCCAAGGCCAACTCTAACTCTAACAATAAATCTAGCCCTAAGCCTCCCTCTACCACTTAACACTAACAATGATGACAGTAATAATGACCAATAAACAGAAGGAGCAGCCATCATTGTTATCAGGCCCGTTCCTGACCTGTGTGCTGACATGCACAAGTCCCTGTGTCTTAACTATAACTAGCATGGTTGAAGCCACATACTGCTGCCATCATGTGACTGCTTAAATGGCCCTGTGGCTGTCTTCCTGTGCTTGAGAGCCATTTCCTTAGAACTGTTTCTTAACCACTGCATCCTCAGAGTGGAGCCTCACAATCAAGAACAATTCACCTTTTTTAAGGCTTCCAAACGCAGATTGCCAAGTCAGTCTGCAGTAAGTACAGCCGTTTATAATCCCATGGCCATGTGTTTCAGCTTTTCTGAGCTTTTAGGAAGTCTGCCAGTTAGATGACTTGGTAAATACGGTTTTTGGTTACTGATAAAGTTGAGCTTTTTTTTTTTTTTTTCACTTCCCTTCCCTTAATATGGGTTCTTTTGTCATTGTCTTTATTGAGTTCTGCTCTCATGTTAATTGGTCTTTGATTGACAGGTTCTTTTTATTTTAGTCTTTTGCTTTTCCTGTAGATTACAGATAGTTGTCAACAGTATCTACTTCTTATATAAGAACATGATTTTTCCTGTTCACTAATAACTTTTCTCCTTGGTTTCTGCTTTTGATGTCATTCTTAGAAAAATTGTAACCACAAAAATATTTTTAAATGCATTGTCCTAAATCTCCTACCCATAGTTTTGTGGTAAGTAGGCAAACTGAATAAAAATAAACAAGGTAGCAAGAGCTCATTTGGAGGGGGAATACTCAGGAATGGGAACACTGATTCTGTACCTGTGACATGCTTACACTCGCCTGGAGGCCACCATCTCTGCAGCCTGTTTTTGTGCCAGGTCGCTACAGGTTGGCACTTTATATTGTAATGCCCCCCCACCCACCCCCCGCAGCAGTCCTGGATGCACTGCTTGTGTTGAAACATCTGTGGCAGACTCTGACAGTCACGATGTCTTCTGTCTACAGACGAGCTTGGCACATAGACTTGTGACTCGAGAAGGCTCAGTCGCCCCACTCCCTCTGTACACATCGCCATCCTTACCCAACATCACCTTGGGGCTTCCTGCCACCGGTCCTGCCGCCGTAAGTGTACGTTGGCCTCCATGGGTCGGTATGACATGGGGTGGTTGTCTGCCTTAGTCCCCACAGCCTGAAGAATATCCCGGTTGTGCCTTTCAGGGTGCAGCAGGCCAGCAGGATGCTGAGAGACTTGCTCTCCCAGCCCTCCAGCAGCGGATCTCCCTCTTCCCTGGCACTCACCTCACCCCTTACCTGAGCACCTCACCCCTGGAGCGGGACGGTGGAGCAGCTCACAACCCCCTCCTACAGCATATGGTCCTGCTGGAGCAGGCACCCACCCAGACGCCCCTTGTCACAGGTAAGAACCACAGCCAGGTCTCTGGGCAGTTAGGTCAGCCTCCTTGGCCTCATGTAGCTTTTAGAGAATGCTAGAAAGAACGCCCGAGCCCATACAAAGGTAGTAACTCTGTGTCCCTGTTATGTGATAGCTACCTCATCTCTGGCAAGGAACTATGTCCTGCTTAGAAAGCTGACCAAGGAGTAGAAGTCAATGCCAGTGCTCCTCAGTTTAGCCTCCTGCTCTCGTTCCAACAAGCTTCCCTGCAGCTCAAGGAAGCAAGTGCATGAAGTTTAGAATTGACCTGGGCAGACCCCTGATTCTGTTCTTGCTTGAGGATGATTACATTTAGAAAAATACAAGTTAAAGAGCAATAGGAAACGCGTGCTGTTTGCCTAGTGAATGTGCTATGAAGAGACTGTTTCAGAAATGACAAATGTGGACTGTTTCCCATGAGACACAAAACCCTACCTATTGGTGGCCTTGCCCAGCTCTATACCATCCTTAAGTCTGTGGGTGACTTCCTCACAGTTATTGCTTTACTTAGAATCCCAGCCAGAGCAGCCCTCGGACTGGCCTGTTGTGTTCCAGTGTTCCCCTGGGTCAGCCTCTCCCTGGTATTTGGAGTCTCCCCACCTGCTGGTGTGAGTCAGTCTGTAGCGCTTGGTATTGTGTTCCTGCCTTGTGCTTTTTCATCTCCAGTGTGTGCTTGGCCCTCCCAAGCCAGTGATCTGGACAGGAACAGCATTTCTGGCTGCTGGTATCCTCTGAGACAGAATGGACACCCTTGCCACAACTCTGGAGAACAGTGTCCCAGTGACCATAGGTGGTTCATTATGCTCAGGCCCCTTCCTGTGTGTTTGTGAGATGCTAGCACAGAGTGACGAAGTGGGAAGACTCAGTTCCCGTAGGCAGCATCTGACACCCAGCAGCCTGGTCTGTGTTGATCTCCTGGTTGAAGCTGTTCCTTTTGGGTTGGATTGGTGTTTTGGGTTTTGGTTTGTCTGTTTACTTACTTGGTCCTTTGATACTAAATCTTGCTTTGAACCCCGATTCTCCTGCCTCAGTTTTCTAAGTGCTGGGATGCCAGGCCTGTGTTTGAATCACCTTCAGTCTCCACACTCTCCCTAAGCTGTTACTCCCATTCTTCCTAGTGCCCCTTTCCTCTGTGTCATGTGTCCTGATGCTGTGTCTCATTGGGTTTCTTCTGTTTTCCTGAACAAGGTTTCTTCTGCTCAGCCATAGCTGTCTTTAGTGGCCCAAGTTCCCCATTGTCTAGAGCAATGATAAATGACAGTGCGTGTAGTACCCAAACCCGTGAGCATTCAAGCCCAAGTCGTAGTACAGCACCCCACTACTTATGTGGCCATAGCTGCTCATCTCAGAGCACTGTCGAAGCACAGTACCCACTGGCAAAGGTACCGGCTCTCAGCACAGGCTCCAGCCTTGCACCACGGTCCTCCTCCCGGGCACTCTAGCCAGAGGAAGTGTGTGGAAGCAAACAGTCTTCTCTACGTCCTTCTGCTGCTTTGGCGCATGTCTGTCCCCCGTCCTTCAGCTGCTCTGCACCATCTGCATGCTGTGCTTGTCAGTGCACTTGCCTGCTCTCTATGCAGTCCCGCTCTCACGGCCTTCCCCATGCCACCCTTCCGTCCTCTCCCAGTGCCTCTGCGTTTGCTACAAAGTGAAGTCTCCTGTGGTGGAGTCCACTGAAGCTCAAGGTCTTGACAGTGCCTGGGTGTCTGATGGTGACAGGGTCTCGCTCTCAGTTTGTCTCTGGGTTTTGGCAGGTCAGCTGCAAACGGTTCTTCTCTCTGGTAACTGGGTATGTGGGGGAGCTAGAACAGCCATCCTCAGGAATACCTGTGAGAGGTGGCAGGCTGCTGTTCCTAGGCTTTGCCACACCCTCTGGAGTGCTCCTTAGGCAGAGATCCTGAAGACTGCATCAATGGGATCTTCAGGTGGCCTTGCTTTCAAATTACACTCTGCCCCCTTGAAGCCTGGGCTTACATCCTCTAGCCAGAGTTGGGCCTGTTTGAGACAGTCATGTTTCATAGACGGCACCTTGTCATTTTCTCCACTGGTTACTCAACAGCATCTCTCCCCTCTCTTCTTCCTCTTCCCCTCTGCTGTTTTTTTTTCCTCCATATTATCTTCAGACTGGTATCTTTCAGGCCTGGGGGCATTGCCCCTCCACACACAGTCCCTGGTTGGTGCGGACAGGGTGTCCCCATCCATTCACAAGCTGCGGCAGCACCGCCCCCTGGGGCGCACGCAGTCAGCGCCCCTGCCGCAGAACGCACAGGCCCTGCAGCACCTGGTGATCCAGCAGCAGCACCAGCAGTTTCTGGAGAAGCACAAGCAGCAGTTCCAGCAGCAGCAGCTGCACCTCAGCAAGGTGGGTCTGCCCGGCTGCCCTCTGGGGTCGCTCCCCCAGAGCCGGATGCCATAGGCTGTTCTGTCTTCCTCAGCCTCTGCTCCTCTGCTCACCTTGAGTGGCCAAAACGGGGAAGGGAGGACACGAAGCCCCTGCTGTGCTGAGTGGTCCAGAGCCTAGGGAGGTGTGCTGTTGTGTGGAGCTGCTATGCAGATGTCACAGCCTTCCTCACGGCCCATCTACATGTGTAGGTACAGTGGGCCACCTCCTTGCAAGAAGCCCCTACTGCACTGTGTAGGCAGTCCACGTAGGCAGTTCCTTTTAGGGATTTTCTAAAGTCATTTGCCAAGCAGATCTTTAAGCAAACCCTGACCCCCAGGCCCACAACTTTACAGTGGTATCGAGTCCCTGAAGCGTATTTTTCAAGTCACCTGGCACCTGCAGTTGCTTAAGTGTGGGAGTTACATCATCAGAGGCAGCTTGGGAGCAGGCAGCCTGTAGAGGTCCGTGTGCTCACGGATTGTCCGGAGCCTCTCAGCTCCATCTACAGGCGGAGGCCATGGGAAAAGTTAGTGCTGTGGTGCCGGCCCATAGAGAAGTGGAGGGGCTTAATATGTTCCCATCAAATGTGTCGGTCGGGGAGCTTTAGTATCAACTCAGATGAGTGAGTGCGTTGCAAACAGCCCAGCAGCTGTCCTCCAAGAGAAATGGAAATGTCTTACAAACACCTCCCCACACACCTCATCTGTACTGCTCATAGCAGCCAAATGGTGGCTGGAACATCCCCAGGGTTTATCCTGTGGTGACAGATGACAGAACACACCTCTCTTGTCATGGGGTCCTGCAGCATGTATAGACCCGAAAACATGGCCAAGCCTTAGACCAGCAGTTCTACCTTCCTAATGTTGTAACCCTTTAATACAGTTTCCCATATTGTGGTGACCCCCCAAACTATAAAATTAATTCATTGCTACTCCCTAACTGTAATTTTGCTACTGTTACGAATCGTAATGCAAATATCTGATATGCAACCCCTGTGAAAGGGTCATTCAACTCACAAAGGAGTTCTGACCCACAGGATGAGAACTCCTGCCTTAGAGCCATGAATTAACTTAGTGGTTGTTAAGAGCTACAGCTTGTAGGGAAATAGGAACAACTGTCAGTGGGTATAGCATTTATGTATGTTTAGACATAATGAAAATGTTCCCAAGTTAGGTTTTAGTGATGGTCATAGAGGTCTGAAAACTACTGAGCTGTTTAGTTTAAAAGTGTGGATTTTAGGCTTATGAGTTACGCTTATTCTCACTATCTGGGGTGGGATACATTGCAGAATACTAAGAAGGTGCTTGAAACCGGGCAGTACAGAGTCCTGTGAATAACAGCCAAACTGAGAATCCAGGTGGCTACTAACCAGCTGTGAGTGTGGTACATACAGCATGTATGCACTAGGATGGGGGCCCATCCTCGTGGGATGGAGTAGGTTAGTGCAAGGTTTCATGATATTAAACAGAATGGTGTGCAGCTTAACACTTAGACATTGTTTGTTTCTAGAATTTTCTATTTAATATTTTTAGATGTTGATTTGGCCACAGGAAACAAAATGAGAAAGGACTGAGATGAAGGTACTCTATCACTGGTCCTCTGCCTGTCCTCGGGTCCAAGCCTTCTGTGGGTTCCCAATGGAAGGTGAGAAAGGATCAGGGATGAGAGCCTGTACCAGAAGATGAGTGCCTGTGCAGAGGGATCTCCGATCTAAAGGGGTCTAGAGAGCCCCCCAGTGAATCAGAGGCCTGATTTCACATATTCCCAGGATAGAGGAATGGCTCCTGTCTACACCCATCCCACCTTGATCTCTGCTGCAAGCTGAGAGGTCCAGGATTGAGCTGGTTTCCCGAGGAAGTTGCTGCAGACCACATGTCCAGCATAGGCTCAGCCAAGCTCCTCCTGCTTTTCAGGCACAATAATATCAGTTCCCCAGCCCCAAGTCCTTTAGCCCACAGCCCTTTTGCCCAGCACTCTGAATATGTTAGAATTTGGGGACTCCAGACATCCTGTCATTTACACAGGAAAGGCATTTGCTGGGAGTGCTCCTTCCAAGTGTCTATACTCCCAAGTGTCAAAAGCACTTTCATATCCATCTCTCTAATGCCAGCCTAGGCTTATTAATTTCATTATGTCACTACCTGAGTGGTGTGGTAGGAGGTTTGAAGACAGGAAACACCCATTCACGTGTGACATATATCTCACTGGGGTTTGTTACGTGATTGATTTGTGATAGCAAATGACAGTTGATTGAAATGTTTATACAATGTTTTCCTGGGACACCCAGGAAGACAGTGGTGTGCTCTGTACTATCTGGTACCAGCATTCCTGCCCTGCTCTGTGAGAAGCTTGCTCCCTGAGGGCCATGTACTCCCTTCTTGACACAGTGGAGACCACAGCTGGGCTCACTGCCCACTGTGCGTCCAGCCACCATCATAAAGTACCAATGCTCCAAAGATGTGACAGAGCAGTTACTCATTCTAGTATTTTGTTTTCAGCAGGCTTTTGTGCCCATTCCCATTTTCCAAGGGACAAAACAGGGCTGCTGAGCTAGCTTCCCTCTTGACTCCTTGGGATTGGAGTGGCAGCCAGTGTACCTGACGGTATCTGCTCCTGACATGAGTGCCGTGCCCACATTAATGTGCTTCATAAAAGCATGTTAAGGGGAGAAACCTTCCAGGGGAAGAAGGCTGGCTAAGGGATGAGTGCAGTGCTCAGCCTGGCAGGCAAACTGCTGCCTCCAGACCCACCTCACCACAGCCTTATTTCAAAAAGTGGGAAGCTGTGCTCATAAATGTGCCTTCCTCTTTCCATGGAAAAGGGGTAATGAGGTGTCTCTTCCCCATTGTTGAAAGCAATTCTTGCAGCAATGCTAGGCCTACAAGATAACTTAATCTTTGTGGAGGCAGAGTGTTGGCCTCACTGAGTCTTACTCTCTTTTGAATATGAGAACTTGACTCCTGTGGGTGGTCTATTTATGAGAGTACCCAGTAGTTTTTAAATGCCTTGTGCTTTCCAGTGGGCTTCTGACTCTGAACTCTGGTCTGGTATTTTAATCCTGCTGTTCTGGATATGGTATTTTGTGTGCTCTCATCCCTTGATAAAACAGGGCACTGATGTCCACGAGGCCTCTGGACAACAGGAACTGACGTGTTGGTGAGCTGCTGCTTGCCTCCCTGCTGGCTTCTCTTGTCATATTGCCCGAGGCCAGGTTTGCTTCCCAAAGCCAGCTCTGCATTAACATCCAGTCTCTGTGGCCACAAAGAAGCAGAGCTCACTTTCAAAGAGAGAGAGAGAGAGAGATTATCCCTGTTTGTGACTATGGCTCATGAAGACTAGTTACACCAGCATCTGCGTCAGTGCTGAGTAGAGCGGCCCACCCACTGCAGGCCATGGGCCTGTTCTGCATCATTGACAGGGCTCTGAGTGGCCCCTTTTGCCATGGCAACATCCCTCATAGGCACCCTCTGGAGGGAAGCCTAGCCAAGCTGTGGCCCCTTGAGAGCCTCCTTGCTCCCTGCTCTAGAGTTCCTGCCTGCCTGGCCCCTGCCAAGGCTGCAGACCTGCCTGTGTGACACTAGGGAGCTCCCAAGTTGTCAGCAACCTGTACCCAATGTGGAGAGGAAGCAGGGAAGCCTCTCCTGGCAGTGGGGCCATTTGACATATGAGAGGACAAGAAACCAAAAGCAAGAAGCCCGAGGCCTTCCCACATCGGGCATAGCATGGAAGAGCCCTGCAAGCATGTACTGATGTGAACACCTACCCACCTTTTCTAGAGGCACCATCCTCAGCCACAGATAGTGAGGTGAAAAGCCAGCCAACAGGGGCCCCTGTCCAAGGTTCTAAAGGGACATCCTTTACCTTATGTGTCACTTTGAGTGTTGCCTAGATGAACTCAACAGACTCCAGCCTCTAGGAAAGTTGGATGTTGTCAGTGGAACACTGGAACTGGAACTCTGAGAAACCCTAGATGGTACAGGGACACTGAAGAGACCGAACAGAACACAGGCCATGACACCGAACAGAACACAGGACATGTTCAAGCCAGACAGGGGCACAAAAGTTGTTAGGGGCCAACTGTGGGGACATAGGACAGAGACCCATTGTGGGGGGAGGGGTGTCACTGGACGCAGATGTTCACATAAACGTATTGGAGTAAAGGCTGGCTGGCTGTGTCCCCTTTCGCTGGGCCAAAGGGAAGTCCTTTGAGCCCTCTCCCATGTGCTGGTCCCCATGGTCTGTCTCTGCATTCACAGCCCCATTCCCACCCTTTACACCTGTGTCATCCTGTGCAGTGGTAGCCTGTTCTACAGGCCCTAGTTGTTCCCAGCCCCACCCACCCAGCTTCCCTGCTTCTTTCCTCTTGGGGCCTGCCTATCTGTCTGTCTGTTGTGACTCCCTAGCCGAAGCCACCTTCTCTAGGGACTTTCCTCTGTGTTATCTCAGGATGCTCTGTCCCTTCTGTCCTTGCCATAGCACTGACCTGCAGGGCGCAGTCTTCACAAACCTGACATCACACACCCAGTTCACCTCACATTCCCAGTTAGAGTGCACTTGGTGCTGGCGAGAGCAGGGTGCAGGAAAGATGTGCGGCTTGACAGAATGGTGTCACCTGTCCTTCCCCCACCCAGTGCCAGAGGTAGGAGTTGAGGTACACAGGAGTACGGTGGCATCAGCACCTCACAAACTGTGAAGCAGAACAAACACCTAACAATGTGCTTTTGTTGAAGTCTGCCTGCAAGTCTTTCCCATCAGCTCACTAAGTTGACGTGGGCTTCACCCAGCCTTATTGAGGCCATTCACAGTATGCTGATCTGCATGAATACAACATGACATTATCTCAGCCGTGCTAGCTAACATATCTAGGATTTCACCCAGCCACCCCACTGTATACATGTGTATACTCAGACTGCTTTAGGTACAGGACAGGTGCCACTGTCACCATGCTATGTCCCACAGAGCTCGTCCATCCTATAAGGAGCAGTGCCTGTGGCCAGTGGCTCTCTGTCTGTTCCTTCCACCTGTCTGCCTTTGTGCCTTGGGGTTTTAAAAATAAGATCACTGGCAGGGTAGGCTATGAAACTGGAGAAATCTTGCCTCCATGGCCGTGGTACCTTTGTAAACATTAGCTGGGAAGCGTGGCACATCTCTGACAGAGTACCACCAGCACTCTTCCCCAGACTGATGGTACATCCTGCAGGTCCTTTCAGTGTAGGGCTTCCCTAAGATTTTAGTGAGGCAGCTTCTGAGAACTTCCTGCTGGTCCCTCCCAGTCCTGTACTAGCTTCTCAGCACAGGGAACTGGATGTCTGCCTCTGTTGCCCTTCTCCTGCAGCCGTGGATGTCCTGCTGGGCAGCGCTCAGCAGCTGTGGTTGTGTGACTGGCACTGGCCTCTCTCCTGTTCACCTTTACTCTCCCCTGCACAATGAGCTGCAGCCTGCAGCCTGACTTAGTTTCAATGTCCTGGCACACAGACTCCCTGCACAGACACCAGACACCTAGTACCTGTCTGCTTTAACCCCAAGCATCACTTCCCGTGCACCTCAGATGATGCCAGGGTCCATGTCGTGTGGGTAAATGGTACTTGCTGGCCCTGGGTCACACAAGTTCTTGGTAGAGCATTCCTGTCTGGTGGAGTGTGGAGGAGCCTCTTCTAGTCCCGTGACTGTCCTAACTTCTTTTGTCTCCTCTGCCTAGCAGATGATCTCCAAACCCAACGAGCCACCCCGGCAGCCTGAGAGCCACCCTGAGGAGACAGAGGAGGAGCTCCGTGAACACCAGGCCTTGCTGGATGAGCCCTATCTAGACCGGCTCCCTGGGCAGAAGGAGCCCTCCCTAGCTGGTGTCCAGGTGAAGCAGGAGCCCATTGAGAGTGAGGAGGAAGAGGTAGAGCCCACTCGAGAGGCGGAACCCAGCCAGCGCCCAGCCACTGAGCAAGAGCTGCTCTTCAGACAGGTGTGGAATAAGGAGAGCAGACAGCTAGCTGACTCAGCTTTTCCTTTTGCCCTCTGAATCACAGACACTCACTGTTCTGGCCTTGGCCATCTTCCTGCCTTCCCGGGTTGGATACCCGCCCTCTGTAGATATTCATGTACCTTCTTGAGCACATGGGCCACACAAAAACTCAGGTGCGGGAGGCTGTAGATTGTAACAACAAAGAAAGCGTTTGTGAGATTCAGCCTGACTACGAAAGCTGGAACAAGGGGGCTGGAAGTGTTAGTCAAAAAGGAACTGGGTGTGGTGGTATATACCTGTAATCCTAGGACTGGAGAGACAATCAGACCGATCTCTGTGAGTAAGGCTAGCCTGGTCTACATAATGAGTTCCAGGCCAGCCAGGGCTACATGGTGAGACCATGTCTCAAAAACAAATGAAGGAAAGAGTCAGGGTCTGCTCAGCCTGGACCTTGGGTACTGCTGTTTGGGTGGCCATCCTTCAGCTTCAGAGAGCACAGTGAGGTCTGGGGTGTAGTGCACAGTAGACTGCCAGAGACAGGGCGCTCAGTGAGTGCTGTTGATTTGGAGTGAAAGGTAAACGGGCACTTGTCTAGAAAGACTGGGGACATTTGGACAGGGCATGGAAAGCCCTGCATTAGAGGCCAGAAAACCACCAGGGAGGCTACTTTTGCCTCAGAAGTGACAGGTAAGCCAGGGGATCCAGAGTCATGGACTCTCGTATTCCCAAGAAGCTGTACTTGATGCGTTGGTACTATTCTAGGGCATACACTGCTGCTTGCTAGGCTCCAGGATTCTGAAGCCCCTCCTCAGTCATGTCACACTCCAGATGTACCTACCACCGCTGCTTCTCCATAGTGTTTGGTATGCCAGAACAGCAAGGCTCCTCCTGCAGACACCTGCTGACTTCCATTCTCCTAGGGTCCCTGAAACAGTTAGGCAGCAACCGCAGCATGAGAGTGGCTTAGATTCTCCTGAGTATCTACCCTGGGAATAGGTCCCGTAGTCTGTCCCCAGATCCCAGCTCTGTGAGGCTTTCCTCGGTCTCGAGCAAAGGTGGCCCTATTTGATTCCGGGAATACTTAGCTTCCATCACATACCACCACTCTTTAAAGTCTAGTAGAATTAAAAGGGTGATGAATGCCATGGGTCTTATGATCCAGGAACTCAGGAAAATGAGTGGCCAGGACTGTCTCCTGCCCCAGGTTAATGGACCCAAAGGGACATGGGGACATGTTTGTCGTGTCTGGAGTAGACCCTCAAAGGAAGCCAATACCTGCTTGCCCTCATTGAAATACAGTGCTCTGTTACCACACAGATGTAAGTCAGAGTATTTCAGTAGCTGCTTTTGGAACTGGTGTCTTGTAGATACCAGATGATCCAAGCATGAGACAGTCCTTAGGAGTCCTTACTTCCTGTGTTCTCTGGAGAGCCAGTGAAGCTCCTTTATGGGGACCTTGGGCACAGAGGAGTTTGTGGAAGTGCACAGAGACTTCAACTCAGAAGAGTCAGCTGCTTAATGGTCTGATGCAAGCTGAGGAGGCTCTGGGCCTTGGGCTTCTGTGTGGGTGTTTCTGACCCTCCTCCTCCTCCTGTAGCTCTCAGGTCTGTAGCTCCCCTTCTGTCTGCTGAAGACTACCGCATCTAGGCAAAGTCCTCTCCTCTGCTCACAGCTCAGGGCTGGACCCTGCTTCTCAGGAGGGTGTATTCTCCAAGGCCATAAGATCTGTCCATCAAATAGGACTTGGGGCGAGGTTTGGGGTGGGGCGGGGTGAGTTGGACTTCCTTTTTAACATGCAGCAGTGGCATGGGATGACATGGTTTCCTTTTTCATCTATCTGGGGCCGTAGGAAGTGGCTTCCTCTGTTCACTACAGAAGGAGCAGCCTCTGGGCAGGTCAACCTTGGGAACCTCATCTTTGCCTCACTCCACCATCGGGGTCCACATCCCTCAGGGCAGCTAATCCCCTGAGTGGTGATCCCATACTTCACAGATATCCAGCCAGAGTCTTCCTCCCGCACAGTGTACCCTTGTCAACCCAGTCCTCTCTCCTGGGCACCTGAGTCCTTAGTAGCATGTCACTTTATGGCCCACACAGTTCTGGCCTTCCTAGCTTGAACTGCTAGAGTGGTTGGAGGCCAAGGCGGAACCACATTAGATGGTATCAGGCTGGCCCTTCAGTGTCTGCCTTTGCTCTCTTGCTGAGTTGGCTCACAGATTAATCACTCTTTCACTACCAGAAGAACCTATGGAGGGCTGGCAGTGTGTATTCACGGTCCCATTTTCACTATGGCCAGAGTGATTCTCTCAGCCAAGGATCTGACCCCTGTCCAATACCAGCCCCTCCACCACTGCTCATCATCTTTTTAGAGAACACTTCCCAAGCCCCACCTGGACCACACCTCCTTGTAGGCCTTTGAGATGGCAAGTCCCCTCATCCTCTTAAGCAGGGCCAGTGTGCCAAATGCCTTCTTCTCAGTGATCCCACTCAGATCATGGCCCACCTTTAGGAGGCATAAATCCATGGATAGTAGTCCCACAGTGGAAAGGCCTGTCAGTGGCTAGGGGTGACTGTAATAAGTGTCACAGACTGGTGGGAAATGTTCTGCTACTAATGGCCCTCTCTCCTGCCCTGCAGCAAGCTCTCCTGCTGGAGCAGCAGAGGATCCACCAGCTAAGGAACTACCAGGCATCTATGGAGGCTGCTGGCATCCCTGTGTCATTTGGCAGCCACAGACCTCTGTCTCGGGCACAGTCCTCCCCAGCATCTGCCACCTTCCCCATGTCAGTCCAGGAGCCCCCCACCAAACCAAGGTTCACCACAGGTAACTTGTAGCCTCTTGCTGGACAGGGGGACAGTGGGAGGCAAGGGGCCAGGGGCAATCTGAGACTGTAGAGCAAGCCACTGATGAGAGGCTAGGGGAGCAGCCTGCAGCTGAATCTGGGAAGAACCCAGGCCACACTGTCCAGAGACAAGCATCCAGCACCATGCCAGGTCTGAGACCCACACTCAGTCATGGGAGCACACCATGATGCTGTTATTCTTGGAGCTGGCCACAAGCTCAGAAAAGTGCCTTCTCTTTTTCCTACAGAAAGCAGTCCCACCTGTGTGCCAGCATGGTGCATCCCAGCTTCCCAGCTTCCCATTCTTAGTCAGTAATAGCAGCCTTGATCTTCTGCAAGTGTTCCCCTAACCCAAGCCTAGGACAGCAGATTGCCATGAGGTTCCAGCACAGGGCCCTGTACCGTGGTTAGTGGAGAGCTCTGCAGCACAGCAGACCTGGAATGAACTCTGGACCTCTCTCTGGCATTGCCTCTGCCCTGTGGACTGGAAATCATGTCTCAGTGGCACCTCCACTTGTGCCTAAGAGGTCCAGAGGTCTGGAGCGAGCTTAGCCGAAGTGTGGACCACAGCTGCATGGAGGCAGGGACAGAAAACTGTCCCCACAAGATGGTCACACCACCTCTTCCAATAGCTCCCTGTGGTGCAAGCAGGGAAACTAGGTTGCTTCTTCATAGTGTTTTGATTTAACATTTCTTCCTAATGAGGAAAAGCTATGTGAAAACAGAATGGCTTTATCCTTCACAGGACTTATAAAATGTCTTGCAGAACACTGCAATACAGCCAAGTTTTTCTTAGAAGGAAACTTCCTGTTTAGGGAAAAGTTTCAGTAGTAATATCTAGAAATTAACATTACTTCAAAAAAAATTAAAACTGCACCTCATAAAACCCAGCAAGTGTTCTGTCCATGAGCACTTGACCATTGGCTGAAATGAGCATGTCCTCAAAGGACTGAAGCTCAGATAGGGAAACTGTCCTGAAACCTTGGTGGCAGCTTGCATGTAAGCAGTGCGCAGTGCCCTCTGTGGCTCTTCAGAGGAGATCTTCCTGTCTGTGCCACTCTGTGAAGCCAGTCACGGCTGACACACTTCTGTGGTCAGCAGTTTCTAAGCTGTGTTCATGTACTTGCTCATTTCAGATAGGCGTGTTTGTGTATCTCACATACGAGGTCCAGCTCCCTCTGTAATGTTGGGTCCATCTTGAGTGAACCCATACATACCACCTCTTACCCTGTGTCCAGCTGCTGCTCTAGAAGTTACCTGTTGGCAAGCCACAAAGCTCATGCTGGCCTGGACCATGTGGTAACCTTGGACAGTGCCTACCCAACAGACCAGGCAGACAGGCCTTGAAGGGCCACACCTGTCATTCCCAGCATTCAGTGTAGCCCAGAGGCCGCCCAGATCCCTTGTCACCTTTTAATCCCTAGCTTGGCCCCACGGTGCAGCCACAGTCTTTCTGAGCTGGAGTGTTGGCCAGTGCTGGGTCTCTCCCTCTGCTTTTATCTAGATCCTCATGTACCAGCTTGGAAAGAGGATAGGGTGGACTTGAACCAAGAACCAACTCTGCTCTCTTCCCTTCTGGGAATTCTTCTGCTGTCCCTGGGCACTGCTCTGACTTCAGCTCTGTTCCACTGCAGGCCTTGTATATGACACGTTGATGTTGAAGCATCAGTGTACCTGTGGGAACACCAACAGCCACCCGGAGCATGCTGGGAGGATCCAGAGCATCTGGTCCCGCCTGCAGGAGACTGGCCTCCGTGGCAAGTGTGAGGTATGGGACCTATCTCTGGTGATAGAGGAACACCTACTGCCTTGCTTGTTCCTGGACATGGCCTCCGGCCTGCTCTATTCACAGTGTCTGCCAGTCTGTTTTCATGTTACAGTGATGGAGAGAATCCAGGAAACATTGCCTGTGTTTCCTCATCCCCATCCATACTGTCTGTGGGCTTCTGAGAAGCCATCTTGGCACCTTTTCTTTTGTTGTGATAGAATACCTGAGGCTAGTACTTTAATAGAGCAAAGAGGTCTGTTTACCACCTCACAGTTCTGGTAGCTGGAGGGTCCAAACCAAGGTATCAGCATCTGCTGAGACTCCCCTGACTAAGCCACAACTTGACAGAGAAACAGAAAAGAGACTGCTGTGTGGGCTGGCCTTTCCCTGTGACAACCTGTTCATTTGAGAACTAATTTAGTCATATAGGCCTGAACCATAATAACTCCCAAGGGTGAAGTCCCCGTTTCCCAGTCACCTTCTGCCAGACCTGCCTCTTACAGGACCCACAGTGCCAGCACTACCATATTGGGCATGTAGCTTCCTTTCCACGAGCCTTTGGGGGCTTCCATGGCAGAGTCCACACTGCTTCCGTAAGATTCTGTTTCTTCTACACAGTGCCAGGCTGCCTCCCCATGGCTGTCCCTGCCTTCTTCCTAGTTACTTCCCAGCATGCTCTGTGGCTGGCCAGTGTGTGCATCCATACTTATGCAGTGAGGGAAGGATCCAGAGGGAAGATCAGCCTACATGTCCCATCAGTCCTGGCAGCTTTATTAAGACATGTTCTTCTGATGTAACATCGTAAAGCTTCTCTGAGGATGTGTGGAGAACTTTGGACCTTTCCTTCCTCAGATGTTGGGTTCCATGAGGCAGTGGCCAGCATGGAAAGCACCTTCTCCCCCTCAACCCCCAAGTCTGGTTAGCTTTGCTTCTGGTTCCTTTTTGCCAGGCCTTCTGCCCAGGGAGCTATGTGGGAAGGCTCTAGTAGGGCTGTCTGTCTTAAGTACTGCTCCTCAGTTTGTTCAGCTACCATGCTTGCTCTCAGGAGGTCTGGCCTGCCTGCCAGTGGGGTCCAGGGTTCACCCCACATTTGGCCACAACAGAGCTGGTCACATAATAGGGCTCTGGTCAGTCAAGACCATGTTGAGCCTCTCCTGGTTCCCCACACATGACCCAGCAGGTGTGCGGTCCCAGATCCTGTGCACTAAGCTCTGAGGAAGAAGGATGGATTTGTGTAGCGCAGGCTGGTTCCTGGGAGCTGGTAGTCTCAGGTGATCCTTCTTTCCCCATCTATGCAGTAGGGCTGGCATCACCAGAGGATTACCTTCAGTACCTGCCAGGCGAGCCTGCTATGACCTCTTTCAACTAGAAAACCCCTCCATGTCTTTCCCTCAAGTTATCCTGCACATCAATATAGGATAGGGCACAAGGAATTTCAAAGGCACTAGCAAGTGCCTCATAGACCAGCAGTTATTTCTGTTTTCTCTCTCTGAGCCCACCTGCCCTCCCCTATGCACTGGAATATTCAGAGTTTAGGTCATCCCAGGGCTCACATGGCCCCAGTATCCTTTACCATTCAAATTGTACCTCACTTATCAGGCCCACACCTGCTTCTGATGACCTCTGGGTGGGAAGTGAACAGTGAGGGGTGAGGTGAGGCTACAGACACCTGCTTTGGGAATCTATCCAGAATGCTATGCCACTGGGGGGCAGCATTGGCCTGTGTACACAAGCCCTGAGAACAATCCTCTTTCCTCTCTTGTTCCAGCTGGCCTTGCGTCCTGCCATCCTGCCCATCCAGATGCTGCCCTGAGGTACCCTTCAGCTGCCAGCATTCACTAATGTCTTGTCACTCCCAGGACAGTATATTCAGGCAGGGACTGGGAGGCATTCTCAGCCAAGAAAGCAGGGATGAGAGTCCAAACATCTGAGAAGGCAGGACAGCCACCCACCTCACCTTCTGTTGTGCCTCCGTGGAGGTGTGAGAGACATTTGCCACATTTGGGCCAGTGTCAGGGGGAGGTGAGGGCTGCCAGAGGGTTCTTAGATGTCAGGCAATGAGGTCAGAGCAGAGTTGGCAGAAGCCTCAAGAGGTAAGCTGGGAGAAGATGGAGCTTAGAACCATTGACAACAGTAAAACACACTGACCAGCTCCCTAGATGTAAGTACCCTAATCCCAAGCATGAGAAGCTCATCATGGCAGCCCCTTGTGGTGCAGAGGAGCTGTTCCTTAATTCAGCCCAAGAGAGCAAGCACACATCCACAAAGGTTCCTGTTGTCTGACTTGTAGCCTGAGTCCTAGGCCCTTGTCATTAGAGCTGATGTCCAACACAGAAGTCAGGTAAGGTAGGTGATGCTCTGACGTCCCATAGGTTCCCAATCGCTGACATTGAAACTGGAGCCTGGACTGTACCTCACTCTGGGTACCATTGAGGGCTGGTGGGTGGACTCACCCCATGAATGGTCTGAACTAGAGAGATCTTTCTTCTCTGTAGGCCCCAGCCCCTCTGCCAGCCTGCAGAACCAGAGCCACACACCATGTTGGTTTAACTTCTTTACCATGTAGGCCAGCACCTACCAGACCAGATAAATGGTCAGGAAGGGGAGATCAGATCCCTGTCAGCAGCTTCTTGAGTGATGAGGACTTTTTCTTCACCTAACCCCTAAGGAACCCTTTCCCTATAAAATGTTTGTCTGTTTCATAACCCACTGGCCAGCTAGTTAAGTGGTTACCTCAGCTAAAGAGTAGGCACTCATCTACTAGTTTCTAGAGATCTAGAAGTAGCTCAAAAGTTGGTTTGATGAGCTTACAAACTGCAGAGGAGCATAGGACTCCTAGTCACCTCCCAATGCAAGCACAGACTCCAGTGTGTCAGCCATGCACAAGGGAGGGACATGGAGAGCTGGTGTTGAGGAGATACTAGAAGCAGTGGCTTGAGTCCCCTTGAGAATGAGCTCAGGCAGTTCCCCTACCTCTGACACTTCTGCTATTTTAAGCCCAGACCCTGGTTTCAGAAAGCAAAATAATAATTTGTTGGAAATCATTTGTGTGACAGTGAAGGGTAACATGTTTAAAACTAGAATTATCTTTTAAATGTTTTTCAAAGCTATGATTAAAATGCAAGCCACCTAAAATATTGTGTTGTATACTGTTTTGTTTCTGCTTTTCAGTAATCTAATAGTCATATACCCATCCTCATAATCGATCCGCATTCCCTCTGGGGCAGTGGCCTTGCTGAAGTAGAGATTGAGCTGACACACATGTTCTTACCTTGTGTCCCCACAGTGCATCCGCGGACGCAAGGCCACATTGGAAGAGCTGCAGACAGTGCACTCGGAAGCCCACACACTCCTCTATGGCACAAACCCTCTCAACAGACAGAAACTGGACAGTAAGAAACTTCTAGGTACTCGAGACCTTCCTTACATCCCTACCAGGTTTGATCTCCTGCAAGTGATGTTTCCACCCCTTTGCCCCTGCAACTGAGGCCACTGTGTGGCTGGCCAAGACAGGAAGGTTGGCTCCTGCTAAGACCCTGGGTACAGAGAAGCCTGGAGCTCCAGTCAATTCTGGAAGCTGCTCGGGATTGTTAGAGACCAGGCGTGCCCAGCGCTTGCCCTGTTTGCAGTTTCTTTCTGAGATCTCTGGGGGGAAGGATGAGAGGAGGCCTGGAGAGCCCCAGGCTTGACCACACTGAAGTCATTGGTTGCAGACTAGGAAGCTTTGTCTTGGCCCTGTCAGTCAAACCCCATGGCCATGTTCTGGCTCACAGAGACCTATTCTGCCTCACCACTGGAGTCTTTATCCAGTAAAAGTAGGATTGACAAACTGGGGGGCCCTATGTGTGTCCTATATCGCCTACTTGGCTTACCCCACAGAACCCAGCAGCTCAGAGATAGTGACTTTTGTACTGATCCAGGACTACAGACAGTAGCGATAAGGACAGATCTAGGTTTGTTGGTCTCTGCCTTGAAACTTTGACTTCAGGTCATGGTCCAATGATGGGGGTTCTTGATCTGCACCAAGTCTATCTCCCACTCCCACTCCCCTATTGGGCCCCTTGTGTGCTCACCTTCACCCTCAATCAGAAGGCAGGGGACTCCCCTGCAGGAGCTTGGCCAGTCCGAAGGACACTGACCGTGAGAGTTCCCGGCAAATAGTGCCCTTAAAACTGTGATGCTAGTCTCACATCTACAAAACCACTGCCCATCCTAAGCTTCCAGTGTGGACTGCACACTAGGTCAGGAGTAGACAGGACAGTGCGTGCCAGGCAGCTAGAGAGACCTTGAAGAGGGGAGATACTGTGGACAAAGGTAGAAGTGAAGGAGGAAGTGTAGGCTGTTGGGAGAACGAAAATTCAAAGCATGATCACCAAAGGAGAAAGTTCCTGGGCTGGAAGACAAGCTGAGGCAGGCTTCCCAAAATGGGGCAAAAGGCCAGCTGCAAGGAGAGGACCAGGGTCTGCTGTGGTGCCTGGTCCTAGCAGTAGTGCCGAGGAGGAGGGGAGGGTGGGGGTAGGTTTTATGCTTAGAACTGCAGGGCACTTCTTGCCGGATTACAAAGATCTCAGGAGTAAGACCACAGCAGGCAGCAGCTGAGACGAAGAGCAAGCAATAGGACTAGGTGATACGCTGCAAGGCTCCAGAGAGCTGGGGGTGCCCTGCTTCCTCCTGTCGCTGTCACCAGCCAGGCTGCCAGGCAAGCAGGAGGAACAGAAGCATTTGCAGCCTTGGAGTTTGATTCCTCGGCGTTATTTCTCAAGCCCTGGGGGACACTGTTAGCCTGGATGAGACTCAGCAGGATGCTGCCAGGCAGCCAAGGGGTCCACCCCAGAAGCAACTCCCATAACATGGTCCAGAGGACAGCCCTGTGGCCCCATGTAGCAGCAGGCAGAGTAGCCTGGGACTGTGTGGTTTGGATGCTGTGTGCTACTGACCCAGGCTGGGTGCAGGGCCATCTTGGTTCTTCTGGGACTTTGCCTTTTCAGACCCTGCCCTTTGTTTTGCGCTCTACAACCCACTGTCCTCCACACTGGCCCCTTGGCTCCAGGGATGCTCTCCATCCAGGAGAGGCAGCATGGAGATCCCAGAATGAGGCAGGACCTATGCCCAAGGTGGGACTTTGTCAGTTTATAGTTGAGGAACAGGTTCCATCTCACAGGAGCAGGGGAGGGGTCAGCTAGATGAGTGCTCACCTAGGCACATTTTATCAGCCATCCCTTCTCAACTGACCAGAGTTACCAACAAGAGAATTTTCTGAGTTTTAAGCTAGTTTCAAACCAGGTTCAAGACAGGTTATCAAAGCCAGAAGCATAGTACTAGATGTGTGTCCTCTGAAACAGGAGAAGTGTCTGTGTGCAAGGCTTAGAATTGTCTGTGTGCAATCATTCACTGCCCACCAATCATTTGAACACTAGTCCCCAGCTTGTGGCCAGCACTACTCCACTAAAGCCTATTTATGCATGGGTTTCTTTCTTTGTTAGAACATTTTCCCCACACCCTGTCCCCATCCCTGTGATCCAGCAGCCATGCCAGTGACTGTTCCACCCCATGTCATTATGTATAAGTGGTGCCCATGTGAGTTGCTCACTTGGTATCCTTTTCCTTCCTGCTAAGCTCTTTGGCACTGTGGGAGGTACCTAAACCCCTCAAGACCCATGTTTTAAGTTTCTACAGTGTCCTAACCACAGACCTTTACAAACATCCTTAGCCCAAGTATTTGAGACATAATAATAGCAGTTATCCCAAGTTCTGTTAAAGTAGCCCTAGTTAGATTTGTAAATACTACTGTGATTTTCTTTTCTTTTTTTAATCTGATCCACACATTTCTCTGCCATGTACAAAAGACCCTTTGTAGTTCTTCACTGAAGTAAATGGCAGGTGTAGTGGGCCAGTCACCATCCCTAGAAGCAAGGAGGCACCTAACAGCCATGCTGAAGAAAATAACCTGGCTTGGGTTAACTGTGAAGCTGGCAAGGCAGACCTCTACACTGCTGGCTCCCACAGAGTGTCAGTTGCAGAAGGCAAACTAATGTCTTTCCTGCCACATGAGCCAGCAATCTGCTGTGAGTAGACCAGAGGACATAGTCCTTAAGGTTAGACTTCAGGAATGTTTTGCAGCCTGATTGAAATGGTTGTGATTTTAAACCACCAACAGCAAGGAACCCTTGAGTATAGCTAGTGATGGACACCAAAGCTCTTGTCATGAACATCATGCCCTGCCTCCTACTCAAGGGTACTTTCTGTGCCTAATATATGATGACTTTCCTTTTTCCTTTTATGTTGGCTGGGTAATGAGCATGAAAATACTCCAGTGATTGACATCTGTAATGTACATGGTGTTGGCTATAATTGCTGAGGGAAATACACTTTCATAGGCCACCACATAACCAATGGGAATTTACTGGAGAAAGTTTCAGGTTCCTGAGCACAGGAACTCTTCATGACGTAGCACTGCTGTTCCTTTGTTGGAATGAGGAGTGATAGTGAAAGGGCTGTCCACGGTCACTCCATGCCTGACTGTTCCCAGCTTTAGAAACAGGGTGCCCTGGGCTATGGTTCACTCTGGATGCAGACCCATAGTGACTACAGTTGGACAGTATGCAGTGAGCAGATGGGGTGTGGCTTATAGCCCACAGCCCTCCTTCCCAGCCTTTTTCCAAAGGCCCAGACATTCCCTGCCTACCCTATCTCCATTCCCTGTGTGTTCATCCTCTCTGGAAAGAGTAGTCACCATTTAAGGCACTGATTTGACCTGGTGCTTCCCTGTACAGCTCCGCTCTATGGCCAGCTCTTACTCCCCTGAAGATTCCCCTCTGCTGCACGAACCAATGTATGCCAAGTTTAGAGCATTTTTACTTGCTACCCACCTGTCACTGAAGGAAAGATGCATTTAATGGCCCTGTTCTGCCTCCCATATTTGTATATGCAAATAAGGACCACGCCCTGGACCTAGGCTGTGCGTGCTTAGCTATTTGAAGCAGAAGGGAAGGGGTGGCAAGAAGCTGGTCCAGGTAGGATCCAAGGGTCGTAGACTTCAAGAAACAGCCAGAAGTGGAGGCCACAACAGTGCTGTTTCCTCAGTATGAATTTGAGGACTGAGAGTGGCAAGGAATATGCACGTATGGCCTTGTTCCTGCATTGCCCATAGTGACACTGTACCCCCTAGGTGCAGGCCAGGAATGGGCTAGTTTACTCAGCTCCACACTTGGAACTTCAGCCAGACATGCAGACACAGCGAACCTCCCCTAACTCCCAGATCTACCAACACTTAATGGAAGAGGTTCTATGTTTTAGTAGGTGCACCATCAGGTATAAACAAGCTCCCTGGCCCACAGGATCTCTAGGCAGCATGATGTCTGGATTGTGCAGGGCTATGCCAACTCCTGGGGCCCACCCCTACCTCCTGTAGCTGTCTAGCCATGAAAGTCTGCTCCCTCTCAGGCTCCCGCAGAGCTGCTCTCCTTGCACTTGCTGCCTGGTGGTGGAGCTGGTGGGACTCTAAGAACATCTTATCCGGTCCAGTGTCCACAGCATGCTCTAAGGGCTGGGCACTCACAGAGATGGTGCTACCCTGATCTTCTGACCCTCATCTTCTCCCCAGGTTCACTGACCTCCGTGTTTGTCAGGCTCCCTTGTGGTGGTGTTGGGGTAAGTATTTCTTTAATGTGTAAATAATGTCCTGTTTGTTCTCAGAGCCCCAGTGGTCGCAGAAATCATTGCCTTGCTCTTTTGAGTGGGTAATGGCTGCCAGGTGTTTTCCATAAACAGTACTGTGGGGCAGGCGGGGCCATGTGGGGCTTCAAAGGAACTGAGAGCTGGGAGCATTTTTTTTTTTTTTTCACCAAACTCAGGCACCTTTTTGGGGGAAGGTTGTCTGACACTGCATCTGGAGCCCTACTAGTCCACAGCTCTTGTGCACCTTATGTGTAGACTGCCTCGGAGCCTGCATCCACAATAGCACTGTGCTCATGTCCACACAGGCCACAGAGGCTCCTTCCGGCAGAGTGGGCTTGTTCTGTGCCACTTACTAACTTGTACTCCAGACAGAGTTCTCTGAAGGACGCTCATGAGTCAGGTGACATTTGTAAGACATTCTCAGGTTTGTAGTGATAACCATTTCTATAGCCAGGTGATCCGGGCAACTAGTCGCCTAGGAAACAGACTGAGACACACAGGTGGTAAAGGTGTCTGCACAGACAGCCTTAGCCTCTGCTCTCAAACCGGCCTCAGGAGGCAGAGGTTCTGCTGTACTCCTGTCCTCCGGCGTGGAAGAGCAGGAGCAAGCCTCCTGTCTGGTCTTCTGACCCTTAGAGTCAGTCCCACTGCACCGCTATGTGTTGGACTAGCTAGCACGTGGCCAGAGTTGTCCTGCTAAAACTGTACCGTGTTTGATCATAGATCCTGGGGTGAAGCTCAGGTCTGGATTCTGTTATGGAAATGAAACAAAATTGTTTTCTTCCTGAGTCTTTACAGAAATCGCTGCTTTGAAAATTGCCCCGTCAGAAAGAGAATCGATGGCATCTATTCATACCACCACCAAGCCCTCCTGGAGTTACTTTGTTTTGTATTGTAAATAGGCTGCAATCTCTTAATTCAGGGCAAATTTTTGGCCCGACTTGAAAAGTTTTGGATTTGCACTGCCCTGCAGCCAGAGAGCCCTGTGCAAGGCAGCATTTATAATTTGCAAATGAAAACTAAATGCAAGCTTAGATCTGGGGGGGTCGAACCTGGGCAATCTCCTGCACCACTAACCCCAGATCTGAGGTGCAGCAGGCATGCTAGATGAATGCAGACATACTGCACAGATGTGAGTGGTGCCCATGGGACCCAACCTGAAGAGAGTTAGGATCTTCAGGTCTTCTTTCACATGGGATCCGAGGCTAGGCCTGAGTGGACCCAGTTTTCCTTCCAGGTGTAACCCACCAGTGTGTCAGAAAGAGCAGTGCAGATGCTGTGGGGGAACTGAGGCTTGTGAGGATGAGGAGCAGGCAGCCAAAGGGAGGCCCTCTGTCCCTGGAAGCAGCTTTCCATTACCATTTCCTTTATGTAATAGTTCTTTCAGAGTTTAACTCAGCCTGCCTTAGTTCTGTGAAGTAAAGGTGTGAAACAGTTTTAACCTTTTTTTTCAAGCCAAATAAAAACACTGCTGTTTTGTTTACCTCGTTATTGGGAATTTCAACCTAGTAAGGAACTGTGTTCTTAACTCTCTCTGCTCTTGCCCCATCCCTGCCTGGGAGTGTCTTCTGCCTCCTCCCATCTGCAGCTCCAGCCCTCCTGATTCCCAGGGCTAACCCAGATTGGCCGCATGCTCCATTATCATCATTCAGCTTTCGTTTCCCAGATGCTTCTGTTTCCCTTCCCCCTATGTCGGTCCTTCCTGGAAGCATTTTTCTATAGCTCCCAATCCACAGTAGCATCACCACCCTGACTGAAAAGGGCCGCCCCTCAGTACCACTTCAGGGGAAGCAGCTGGACAGAGTAGGGTCAATCAAGGGTTTACCCCTCTCTCTGTGCAGAAGGGGGCTTGACCAAGCTACAGACACTTACCTCCTATGTCCAGAAGAGTACAGTCTACAGAAAGTCCTGGAAGAGCAGGCGAATGGCATGCATAGTCCCTTTCCCCATGTCTTAGCCAGGCTCTAAAGCCGGGCTCCCTCTTCACACTTGGGAAGGAAATGATCACTGAACTCATTCATAGCCTTCGACCTGGCCTGGGCTGCCCAGAACACTGCTGCCCCTGGAGATCACAAGCTGGTGGAGTGTCTCCTGCACGGTCACCTTTGATATTATAATGAGCTGATAATAATGATTTGATTCTCCAGCCAAAGCTGATCTTCATAGGATCACAAGCCAGTGTCTCAGCTTTGAACAGTGATGCCTCCCAGCAGGGGTTCCTTTGGCATTCAAAGAACATAGCCCATGCTAAGTACACCTTTCAGCAAAGGCTAAACCAATATAAAGGAATTTTAGATCATCTGTCTCTGAGAGTGAGGCTTGTGGAAAAGCTGGGAAGAGTTGCTCCTCGCACTGATGATCAGTATCTGTCAGTTAGTAGGATGATGTGGAAGGCCAAGGCTGGAGATGAAGAGAGGTGCTTGTGGGTCTGGATTCTCAGCTTCTTCGCGTGCTCAGAGGTGGTGGTGTATGTGAGGATCTGGCAAACCTCAGATTGAAGAAGTTAAACAGCTGTTAGCCAAGCAACTCCCACTCACTCCCAGGTCATAACTCCCTGGCAAGGGCCTAAATGTCAGTGTGTCTGGTCCAGACCCCATGTAGCCTCCAAGGCATACATATAGACAAGTTGTTCTGTGCCCTGACGTTGCAGCCCTTTGATCCTTGCCCAGCTCCTGTCTCGGGCTTCCCTGTAGACCTAATAGTGGGAGTGCCTTGTCTTGTTCCCCACTAACCAGACCTAAAAATGCATTCTCCTGGGCCTGCGAGATGGCTCTGCAGGTAAGGATACTTGCTGCCAAGCCTGACAACCCAAGTTCAGTCCCTGAGACTCATGTAGGAAAAGGAGAGAACCGACTCCTACAAGTTGTCCTCTGACCTCCACAAGAATTCATTTTCATGTGTGCATATCCATGCACACACACACACACACACACACACACACACATAATTTTTAAAAATTGCAATGCATTCTCCTTTGCCCAAGCCAGTGGACAACTGGTTGGCCCTGCTTGCTGTTTGAAGTGGAAGCTAACAAGCCACCTTTCTGCCACCTGGGACAGACCTGGTTGTTCTTGATTAGGCCTCATGCCCTAGTCCCATTCAATTACCTGCAGCCCTTAGTAAGAGTGTGCACTTAAAGTCAACACGAAGAAGAGCCACGGATTGTAGTTTCTGTTCCATTTCATTTTCTGCTCATTAATACAACTCTACACTCCAGTTCCAGTTTAAAAAGCGAGGTGATCAGTCACCTAGGATCCCTACTGTCGGCTCCAGGTCTATTGGAACAAATGAAAGAAGAAGGGTATCCCAGAGGGGATGGAACACAGTATTTCTGGTCACTTGTTTTATTCCTGTGTTTATTATTTTGGCATATCTCAAAAGGAAATGTACCTGCTGTGGGTTGCTGTCTGCTCTGGCCAGTCTACAACACAGGGGCAGAGCTTTAGGGGACCCAGGCTACACAACCTGTGGGATGGCAGTGACAGTGACCCAGGAGTTGGCTCACCGAGGAGTGTTGTTTTCACAGGTGGATAGCGACACCATATGGAATGAGGTACACTCATCGGGAGCAGCCCGCCTGGCTGTGGGCTGCGTGGTGGAGCTGGTCTTCAAGGTGGCCACAGGAGAGCTAAAGGTCAGTGAGCATGATAGATCTGCCTGGGTGACACACGGAGGCTCAGCCCTTTCCCTGTTGGCCAGGAACTAGAAAGCATTGGTGCAGGGCGGCTCCTGTCCAGGATAATGTGGACATTCCATGCTGGTGAAAACGTACAGTTCACATTCTGAGATGGATCTTTGGAGCCGTTTACGCCTTCCCAGTTGCTAAGGAGCCTAGAAAACTTTTGCTTGTGTAGCCTACATCTTCAGCATCCGCTATCTTGAGATGAAAACGAAGCATTTTCAGAGTAGTCATTGTAAAATAACAACAGCTTCTGGTGTAGTTCATGGCAGCTGGATTCACACCTGTCTGCCTTACGGTATGAGACTGGTAGAGAGACACTAACCTCGTGTAAGTGAGGGTTGAAAAGGGGGTGCCTTGTGGAAACTAACTTCTCTGACCTGGCCAGTGCTGGCAGGTGGCAGACCTTGAAGGCCAGTGCAGTGTGGACCCTGCAGCCTCCTGTTCACTCTGTAGCTGTCTTACCCACAGGGTGGTTACTGAACCAGACAGCAGTTGGAAAGTTAAGGCCGCAGGTCTCAGCATACCTAACCCTAGCAGAAACCATGTTTTGTTTTGTTTTGTTTTTAAGATTCGTTTATCTTTATGTACACAGTATTCTGCCTCCATGTATGCCTGCGGGCCATAAGAGGGCGCCAGATCTCATTGTAGATGGTTGTGAGCCACCATGTGGGTGCTGGGAATTGAACTGAGGACCTCTAAAAGAAGTGCCAGTGCTCTTAACCTCTGAGCCATCTCTCTAGCCCCTTGTTTTGTTTTTTAAACCCTTAATGCTACCACTCATCTCACAAGAAAGGCCTCCCATGCCAGGGTCCCTGCATGTGCATAGGGACAGGCACCTGTGAGGTCCAAACCCCACCACTGGCAGCTCCTGCCTGTCCTGTTCCCGGAAGTGAAAAGCCTTGCTCTACGTGAAAAGTGTCTTAGATCTCCCGAATTAGAAGGCCCATAATTTCTCTCATCATTACAGGGAAAATGGGTATCTCTGAGAAAAGAGGGTCTGGCTCAGCTCACAGTGACAGATAGGTGCAGAGAGGCTTCCTGGAGCTAGCCCACACATGGCCTCACTCAGAACCACCACAGTGTCTTCCCTACTAAGCGTGGTATGCTGAAAGATGGGGGCCTGAAGGTAGAAGGTTGTACACTTGGTGGAAGCTTATCATGGGGATGTTCATGGGGAAGTGTCCCCTTGGGAGTTTGTGTGTGTTCATTGTGGGGCTGGTGAGTCTTCATGCCATGCTCGCCTGCTGCTCAGCACCATCCATACTTTTGTCTGCAAGAGGCAGGTGGAATCTGAGGCTTGTCAGACTCCCGAAGCCAGTGCCCAGGACTCAGCACAGAGTGCTGGCCCAAGAGTAAGGAAGGAAATCTGCAGCACTGAGTGTCATGGCGTCTGTCCTGTGTCCACCTCTCAGCCTTACCACTGCCCTCCCTGGTCCTGTCAACCCAGAACCCTTGGCTGACCTTTGGGCTCAGTTAAAGCTTGACCGTGCCTCTTCCTGGTGCTGGAGAGAGCAGGCTTGGTTGAATGTTCTTACAGCAGCAGCCCCAGTGGTGTGCAGGTGGTTCTGTAAAGTACGAGTGATAGGGCGTAGGCTCTGCAGCAATGCCATCCAGTACCAGCTCTGCAGTGATTAGTTTCTGGGTGGGAGGAGAATTGGGTAATAAATGTGCTGTTTATGCCCCAAATGGCTAAGATGTGGTCAGGATAGAGGTGGGCACAAGACCTACTTGAGGCATAATAACATGGACCCAGCAGCAGCCTATATGAGTACTTTTTTTTTTTTTAAATGGGAGAATGAGAAAACAAGTTCTCATTTAGCCAAGCTAGCCTCCAGCTCACAGTGCAGCTGAGACTGGCCTCCAGCTCCTGCCCCTCCTTCTGGGGTTATGTCATGCCCAGCTTTCTTTTGTCTGTGTCTACACCTGCCATAAGGCTGCTGGGGAGCAACGGGCAACAAGACCATCCAGGACCCGAGCCCACACCCCCTCCAGTGGCTGCAGCCCTAACCCTTGACACTTGGAAACAGAGCCAGTTGGTCTACTGTCTGTCAGTAGGTCAGGTCAGGCTCTCTGAACAGACTCCTTAAAAAAAGATCCAGACTTCCTCCAAGGCTCAGCTAATCCCATTTCCCATCCATGTCATGGAACCAGTAGTAATGGAAACCACATCCTCCTGTGGATTCAGAATCTGGTGACTGGTGTTTGTAGTGACTTGGGGGCGGTGGGATAATAAATGTCTTTCCTCACTATTTCCCACTGTCTGCTAATCATTTGCAGAATGGCTTTGCTGTGGTTCGTCCCCCAGGACACCATGCTGAGGAGAGTACACCCATGTAAGTGGACACACCAGACTGATAGAAATCATGGGAGACAGGGCTGGGTGGGCATCTGAGTGCCCAGGGAGGAGCTAAGGCCTTGTGCACATCACCCAGGGTGTGTTACTAAGGCCTTGTGCACATCACCCAGGGTGTGTTACTAAGGCCTTGTGCACATCACCCAGGGTGTGTTACTTTGTCTCCCTTGCCCACAACCAAGGTAGACATGTGATTTGAGAGTAGTGCAGTTGGATGAGGAGTATGGGCATGAAGGCTTCCCTGTTGGGTTTAACGAAGAGATGGTTCAAGTGGTAGAAATGATGGCATCAGAGAGGCTGTGCCAGAGATGTGTGTGATGATGCTTTAGGTTCCTAGTCCATGGGAACGGTACCATTCACATTGTTGATGGGTTTTATCACCCTTTTTAACCTAAACAAGGTTAATTCCTCAGAGCCTTGCCCAGAGACTGAACCAATTAGATAATTCCAAATAGGTGTCTCCAAATGATTCTAGATCCTGTGAAGTTGACAACCATTATTAACCATTAACAGTGTCTGTATATGTCTTCAGTGTGTGTGTGAATGTGTGTATCTATCTGATATATATAAGTGTGTCTGTGTATATTGGTGGTGTGTGCATGTGTGTTTGTGTATACCTGTAAGTTATGTGTGTTTATAGGTCGGTATCTTATGGTATATACACTTGTGTGCCGGTGTGTATATCTGGGGTATGGGGAGATTGTCTGTGGTAGGAAGATGCCTTCTATAGTGTGTGTGCTCATACTTCAGTATGTATTTGTGGAGGATGGTATGTGTGTCTGATGGGTGAGGCTTAATGTGGCACATATGCTTGTGTGCCTGTGGATCTGTGGTATATGTATATTAACGTAGCTTGTGTGTCTGTATGTCTGTCTTCATGGCTGTTGGTTAATCAGCAGCATCAGTTAAGGTCCCCAGTTAGGAACCAGCTGTCCTTCACCTGAGGCCCTCCATAGGACTCTAGATGTTCTGCTAAGAGTTGTGTAAAAACAGTAACCAGACGTCTCCTCTGCAGGGGGTTCTGCTACTTCAACTCCGTGGCAGTCGCAGCCAAACTTCTCCAGCAGAGGCTGAATGTGAGCAAGATCCTCATTGTGGACTGGGTGAGTGACTGCCTGCCCAGCAGGCCTGACTGAGCATGGGCCTTCACCTCTCCTGAAACTTAGAATCCAGGAACTGAACTTTCTGGAAACAGTCCTAGAGATCAGAGAAGTTGGCTTCAAGACTGAGGCCAGCTGATCCTGCCAGTCAGGGACCCAGCCTGCCAGGGTAGTACACACATTTGAGGGAGGCCACCATCACTGGTCCTCAGAACTCTCTCTCTCAGGAGGCTAGAGTTTTGAAGGTTATGTTTAGGCTTGACTGTATGCTCTAACCTGGGGACATGGACCTGGCTGCCCACCTTATGCCAGCTGAAACTCACTACACAGTGACTGAGCCTCCATCTTCCTGAGTGAGTGCAGCTTCTTGCAGCCCCCACTGTCTGGAATAGTTGCTGTTTCTCTGAGAACTAAGCCAAATGTCAGAAGCAGCACACTGTCTCATGAGTAGACAGGAGTTGGGGTATGCATGTCAACACCCCTTCTTAGTCATGGTGCCTGGGTGTCACGAGCTCTGAGCAGCAAGAAAAGAGGCAGCCTGGGCTTCTGCCAGGCCTGTGATCACCCTGGTCCTGGTTGTGGGCTGTGGTCTCCAGGACAAGCGTGCTGGATGGCCCTGTTCTGCAGAACTGCGTGTTGTGTGCAAAGCTCTAAGAAGCCAGGGGTTCTGAGACAGAAATGCTCTTTGGTACTGATGTCTCATAACATGCTTTACTTAGCCCACGTCAGGTGGGTGTCATTTGGATTCCGTGCCCTTCTCCATTTCAGAAAGAAGCAACAAAACGTAAACCAGGAGACAAGTCAACTCTCGGATCTAAGCGAGGCAGGGCGACAGGGCAGTTTGCCACATACAGTGAGCCTGTCCCTCCTGCAACCTTGCCCTTCCTCGGGAGCAAGCAGAGAGGTGGGAAAAGACAGAGTGCCTTGCAGTTGGTGGCAACATAGACATGACAGTTCCGTTCTGGGAACGACTGAGTCAGCAGATGACCCATAGACACTGTCTTATCTTCCCAGGGCCACACTTTGTGTTAACCTGCTTGATGGTGACGCATAGACAGTCCTATGGCTTACTACTGTACAGTTGTTATCCATGGTTCCTCCTCTCAGCAGGGACCTGGTAAATGAGATGGGGGCACTTGTCTTCACTTGACATCCACATCCTACACTGAGCACAGGTGACCTTGTAGCGAAAACTTTTCACACACGTGGCCAAGCAGCACAGGGCCAACCAGCCTGCCCGTCCTGGGAACCAAGTCTAATGGCCCTCAGCAGTGTCCACAGGCCTGGCTGAAGCCAAAGCGGCCTCTTTTTTCTTGCCTTCTCCTCTCATGGTTACATGGGCATTGTGTCTTAAGGAAACAGCTGGTCGGGGCTGGAGAGATGGCTCAGTGGTTAAGAGCCCTGGCTTTAAGAGGACCTGGGTTCAATTCCCAGCACCCAATGGCAGCTCAAAACTGTCTGTAACTCTTTTCCAGGGAATCCAACACCCTTACACAGACATACATGCAGGCAAAACACCAATGTACATAAAGTACAAATAAATAAATTATTTTTAAAAGAAAACTGCTGGTCATTTCAGGGTGGGGCCCTGGGCACCTGTCTGTCACCCAAGTTCATTTGCCATATACCCTCTGCGATGAGAAACACCCACAATCTGTGATTATCCTGATGGAAGTGAGGAAGTGGCTCACCGCAACTGAGGCAGGCACGTAAGAGTAATCAGATGGCTTTGTTTGAAATCACAGCCTCAACTCAGCTAAAAGCTAGCCCCATCCTCTTTCACTGAAGTCAGGAATGTGCTCTGGTGCTCAGGGTGCACAGAGACACTGCCAGCTTGGACTCTGGCTTCAACCTCTCTATGATGCTGCTGGCACCCCCTAGCACCTTACCATGAGGTGCAAGCCAGGCTGAAGGTTTTAGGGTGTTCACCAAGTAAGAGCTGTTAGCCCAAGGTACAGGGGACAGCTGGATGGTAAGAACTGTTCTTGAGGCCTGGTCCTCTGTGAGCCAGTTTTCTTGGTCTCGCAGGATGTGCACCATGGGAATGGGACCCAGCAGGCCTTCTACAATGACCCCAATGTTCTCTACATGTCCCTGCACCGCTATGACGATGGGAACTTCTTCCCGGGAAGTGGAGCCCCAGATGAGGTACGTGGAGTGTGGGAAACTTTGGGGGTAACTGGGAGGACAAGCCAGCTTGTAACCAGGTGCTGCAACTATCTAGAAAGCAGGGCAGATGCAGGCCATACCTGACTGCCACAGAAGCAGCACTTCACAACTCAGACTGCCCTTCCAGAAAATGCTAGCCTAGATTATGCTGTACATGACTTGGGCCAGAATTTTGTCTAATGTTCAGTGAGAATCTACACATCATTTCTGGTTCCATTCAGGGCAAGGAAACATATGCCCAAGGGAGGTGCTGTGCTGCTCCTCCAGGACACCTGCTTCTCTGTACCTGTGCTGGCTCTCCCAGCCACTGTCTTTAGGGAGCATCCTTCGGCAGCACACCCATGTCCCTCTCTGTTCATTTGGCATATGGTACTACATGGTGGTCCCAGGAGCACAGAGCCTGCCCCCTGAAGACAGTCCCGCAGTCCAGAGCCACTTGTGTGCACACGTGATGCACAGGTCCTCAGGTGTCTCTCATTAGTTCCTCCTAGTTCAAGGCCTGTGAGCAGCTGCAGCCATGTAAAATCTGCTCCACTGGTAACAGTGCCTGGTACTGGAGTGGTTAGCTTCACTAGTGAGCACACTCACGAATCCACAGGACCCACGAATATCTTTATGGGCCTGCCAGCCCACACACTAGTGCAAGTGTCAGTTGACCTAAATATTCTTTTCAGAGTGTCGGTGACAGCAGTTTCTCTCCTTGTGGCCACAGGTGGGCACAGGGCCAGGCGTGGGTTTCAACGTCAACATGGCTTTCACGGGTGGCCTTGAACCCCCCATGGGAGATGCAGAGTACCTGGCGGCTTTCAGGTGAGTACCTATCTGTCTGCCCACTGCCCAGTTAGTGACCTTTATTTCTGAGTGGATGCTGTTTGAAGGTCAGGGCCCGTGAAGGCTCCTGGTGACTCTGGTACTCTCTTGATGACAGTAATGGATGTGCTCCAGTCACAGCAGTCCCTGCAGCTGGTGACTGGGCCGGCCCTCATCCCCCAGGCCTTGCTCTCTCCTCCTGAATTGTGCTCACTGCGGGCATTTCTTGAGTATGCCTGTAGTTCTCTGATCTGGGGCCAAGTGTGACCCCTGCTCTCCCTGCCCAGGTGTCCACAGTGTCTGACCTGCCTGGCCAGCCTTTGAGGTGAGCCCGTCTTCCTTAGTCACCCTGACGTCTGTCCTAACGTTTGGCAAAGTGTATGAATGATAATCCCTTAGTGAGGGTACCTTCTAAAGCTTCAATCGCTCCTTTGAAAAGGGAAATTGTTTCAGGTTGGGTTTTTTTCTTTATTTTAATGTAAAGTAGCACTTTGAAGTTCACAATTTATGGTTCCCTGGGCATCAGGTGGGGAAAGAAGGGTCAGAGGCTCATTCCCCTTTCTTCTTCAGTCTCCTCCTTTGGGGCCCTGTGGGAGAAGGCGTGCCTCAAAGGCAGCACCTTGTTCTTCAGAGCCCTCTTCTGCCAGGTCACATTTTCAGGGGATCAAGCCTCCGATGAAGAAAAGATAAGAAAATTGCCCCTAATGAGATCCAGAAGTGACCGGCACTTTCTCCTCAGGCTCAGAGCCTTGTAGGAGAAAAGGAACTGTAATTCAAACCAGGCCTCGAGCCAGACACAGCTTTGAAGTTGGCGGAGCTTGGGCGGAACACCGTGGGCTGGGAAGCAGAGAGTGAGTGATACACTGTCCTTAGCCTCCTGGACCTGTCTTCAGTGCCTGGCCTCAGCAGTGAAACAGTCATGTGGCATCAGGAGGCGTGACGAAGGTGTCACTGGTGCTGGTGTTGTTAGTGGTGTCTTTAATTTCTCACTGGCCTCAAACTGCAAAGCCTGCTGCCTTTCAGTGGCCCTTGAGCCCTCATTCTGTTGTACAGCCTGCTGCTGTTGCTGCCTTTCCAAACAGCTGTTTGGGGTGGTGGTAGTGGTAAGACACACGTGGTCCCTGTGAGTACACACTCTGGTGATACCCACTGTAGTCATCCCCTGCCTTCTGATGGCTCATGTCTGAGAGATGAGCACTCTGTAGAGATTTGGTTAAACTATCAGCTACCTTTTTAAGGTAGTTGCAATTCATCATGGAACCCTCTGCTTCCTTAGATAGAATTTCAGCAAAGACAGTGGTCTTAGAAATCAAGAAACAGAAGCATAAAGCTCAGCATTGGAAGACCAGTGAGTCAGCAGCCTCTCTTGACCTGCTTGGCCCCCATAGAGGAACAGAGACTGATTGTTCCCAACCATCAGGGGGCCTCAGATGCCCCCAGAGGTGAGGCCCTGGCCAAACCTTGTCCACCTCAATCCTGGGGGCAGGGCTGTTGAGGGTTTCCGCCTGGTGAATAATAAGTAATACGTCTCCTGCAGCCTGAGTAAAGGACCTGGTCCCAGGATGAAGCAGGCAGGGTGTTTGAGGAACCGGTCCAGCGAATGGTGAAGAGGCCTGGGGGTAGAACTACCTTGTTAAACAGTGACAAGCCATGACATTGTGGGGAACTAGGGCTAATATGAATGTGGGAAGTGTGATCTCGGGCACTTGCTTGTAGGGGTTGAGCAGCACCAGGCCAAAGATTCAAAAGAGCAAGTTTGGGTGTGTGGCAGAGAATGCTCTGGCAGGGGACATAGTGAAAAAGTGTCTGAGGGGAAACACAGGTATGATGCATTAGGACAGAATGTTCTGGGTGTGAAGAAGCAAAGGTCCTACTCCTCTGTTCCTAAGAGATAGGAACTGGATCAGGGAGAAAGTCAAGACCACCTAGTTGAGGCCAGAAGTGCCTCCCATCAGCCCAAGCCTTTGCTAACTTGAGGATGCCCTTTGTACAGATTCCGGGATGTTTTTCCTACTGTAGATAAGTAGGAGGAAGTACTGAAAACTGGGGTCTGTAGAAGAAAAGGCAAGCTCTCAAATTAGAGGTTGTCAGCATGGGGGAGTTGGGGGTAGGATTACCATGGTGAGCAAATGGAGAGGAGAGTGAAAGCAGAGTATAAGATGGAGAGTGGACCCTGGTGGCTTTGCTACATAACATTGACCCCTGGATGAAGGGACACAGAGCTTAGTGCCCCACCCACCCACCCAACTGAGGCAGCCACCAGCCTGGACTGAGTTAGAGATGGGTTCAGTGACTCTCCAGATGATGCTGTGAGGCTCTCAAAGCACAGGAGCAGGAACACCTGCTCTCATCTGGGAACCTACCTCTTGAGGTACTTACTGCAGTTAGTGTGCATTTCAGAGGTGCCCCTGTGTGCATTCTGCCCTCTCATGAGAGGGATGTATGGCTATGGGCCCCTGGTACTGGCCTGCCGTTCCATGCAGCTGGCAATGAACAGTTCCTCTATGAGATACATGCCACAGACTGTGGGGTGGTTGATTTGAAAGCAGGACGACACTGATAATGAAGGCTGCCTAAGCTACAGAAGAGACACTCATCATGCAACATGTAACATGACACCGCATACATAGGTCTTCTACACAATGGTCACCCTCAGAAGCCTGCAGCCACTCAACCTAGCCACTGTATTGTGCACCTGAGTACCTGTGAGGGTCCTCATTCCCTCCCTGCACTAAGGAGTGAGCTATGATCACATTCCAGCCTTCTCAGAGGGCTGCCCATTTTGACTCATTTGTCCCTCCTCCAGGCAAATCTGTAAATTTATCTGTTGTCTTGGGAAGCCTCACCTCCCTGCCCCCAATCTCTGACTCACAGACACCAATACACACATAAACACAAAAGGCTTTTCTATTTCCGAAACTAAGTTGATGGTTCAAAATTTATTTTGGGAGGTAAAATGTAAGCTCAGGCTCCCATTTTCTTTGAATGCCAGTTAAATAGGGACATTCTTTGAGGTTCTTTCCTGCAAGGTGGTGGGTAGGAGGCACATTCACAGTGCAGCAGGGAGTATCCAGCTGATACATAAAGTAAAAAAGCCATGTCCCAACAAGGAGCAAAGACATCCATGGTGTCACACGTGGATGCTGGAGACACCCTCTAACACACACCTTACATTCAGGGCTGTCACCAGTTATCTTAGTTTCAGCGTATTCCCAGACTGAGATGAGAAGACACCAAGCCCGGGACATTCAAAGACTGCTTCTTCTGATATCCACTCCTGCTATGCACATGGGGCCACCTGGGGGTGGGTTTGGTTTGGTTCTGGACCATGACACACAGAAAGTGTAAGCATCAGTGCTCATGGTGTGAGCTCCATTTAATGAAGATTTAGCAGAACTTCCTTTTGGGCAGGTATTGGATATTAAATAGCTCAGCTGTACATCAACGCCCACTTGCTGCAATGCTTAGCAAAAACAGAGTTGGCACAAACCACTATGATTTTACTTGAAAAAAATGACTTGGCTTTTAAAATCCCTATCAAAACCATGATAGGTTCTGTTATTCTGAAGACAAGGTTGTGTGACAGTATCTTCATTGAATCGTTAAGATACGGTCTCCTTGGTGTGATGTGGACCACCACTGTCAGTCCAGCCATCTTGTCAGTTCAGTGTCCCACGCTCCCAAGGAAGACCCAAGACAAGCCCACTCCATGCAAGGATGCCAGTGACATGGAAGCCAGAGGATCCAATGGCATTCTCTCTACCCTGTGACTGACCACTGTGGCAGGTTTCTAGACAAATGCCAGTGTGTTCACAGGGTAGATGCTCAGCTTAAATGCTTTGTACTAATGAAATGATGGTCTGGTGTGCCTTTGTTGCAGTGAGGCACAATGACAGCTATGTAGTCTGAGCCTGAGGTGCTACCCTGAAGAGCAGGACATGAGCAGCCATGCAAGTGAGTCCAGGGCCGAGATCCACAGCCATGGCTCCTCTGTGTGGAGTCCACAGTGTTTGCATCTTCCCTCATCACCCATGACTGCTGCTTTGACATCATAAGGCATCTGTGCCTGGTATTGCCCAAGACCATGTGGCCCCAAGACTAAAAGACTTCTTGCCCAGACTTTTGCAGAAAGTGTTCTGGCCCTCGTCTATGGTTACCTGGTTGTGTCCTGCACTCTAGCAATAGTCCACAGAGCCCCCAAGGTGCAGACTGGCCTTGGAAAGTCCCTTCATCCTGAGACGAACAATCCAAGAGACACTAGACTGTATACACCCTCCAGAGCAACAGAAGCCCAACCCCTCCACAACTGCCCATCTTTGGTTTGGAATACATGTCTGGTCTTCAGTTACCTAAGGTTGAACTTGGTATATTTGTAATAGACTTCTCCATACTGGCCAGAGCCAAGCCAACTGAAGTAGCATGTAAGGTCACACTACTCTGCCGTACCTTTCTCTATACTGTCTTTGGGAGCTCTGTTATAGATAGTGTGTGTTCTGCCACCCTGAAGTCAGGGGAATTAGCAGCCAGGTTCCACCTAGAATCATTCCTGAGTTGGTCCCATTGAATTCTGAGTGTCTTTTGGCTAGAGTTCACGCTTCTGCTAACTTGGATAGGGAGTTTTACTAGATAAGAGAGGCTGGAGGAGAAAGTGGAGTTGTTAAGCCCTGTTTGAATATTTGAGTATATAGCAGTGGGAAGAATCATTTCCTAGTGCATCTCTTTTCCTCCTGTGGGATTCCTGCAGACAAGGTTTATAAAGGCCCACCACATATGCTAGAAAGGCTGTGAGACACAGTTGTCTTCTAGGTGGGACAGATTAGGTGGGGTGGCTTCACAAACAGGTAGCCCAGAAAGATGCAAAGGGCCCCAACAGGCTCACAGCCCTACCTGTGCAGTCACATGACCAGGTTCCACACCCACCTTCCTCATCTGCTCCATGAGTACAAAACACTCGGGCTAGAGCTAGGAGACCACAAATATCTCCCTCTCAGGGTCGCTGCTGGCCTCCAGAGGGACACTGAAAGTTAGTGTTAACCATTCTAATAAAGTAATCTCTGAGGATGCTTAAAGCCTTGTAGCCTCCTGAGTCAGTTACAGGATTCTGTTCATGGCTATACACCATGGCTTTCCCATGGCTCCTGGGTTTTGTATTGAGAGGTCGAGTGACTTAGCCATTGAACTACTCAGTGGTCATGTCTTACACAATTCTCTTAACTGTGATAGTAGTTTCTCCTTTTGCCATTCTAAGAGTCTTGTTTTCTCTTTAATTTACTCTCACACATGCACAGATGGCCATTGATTATGGGCACAGTGCACTATCAAGTGAGTGGGAAGCCCTTGTGGACTGCACGCCTGCAGGACTGCAGAAAGCTAGCCAGGGCTTTATCTTTTCAGCAGTGTGTATTTCCCAGTGCCTCGTGCTGGATGGTGACTGTATGTCTTAGTTACTTTCCATGTGGTCGTGACAGAAGCTGCTTAAGGAAAGAAGGGTTTATTTAGGCTCACAGTTCAAGGGTATCATGGCTGGAGGTCAGAGCATCAGGAGCTTGAGGCAGGGGCTCGCATTGCATTTACAGTCAGGAAGCAGAGAAGGGGGGTGTGCAGGCATCGGTTTACTTGGCAGCTCATGGGATGGTGTCAGCCTCATCTCATCCTACCTTAGCCCCATGGCTAACTTAATCTAGACCGTCCCTCATGGGCATGTTCAGTGGATTGTCTCTGAGGCGATTCTGGATTTTGTCAGGTTGTCATCAGTAGTAACTATCACAGTGTACGTTTCTTAGATGAGAGTCCTAAAGTGTGTTCTTGTTGTGGGGAAGGTAGCTGATCTGGGAGAGGCCATAAGGGGCATTTGCATTGATTTCCTCCCAATTGTGCAGGTGCCACAGGCCTCAAAGAACTATGGCTTTGACAGTTACAGTCTTCATATGCCGTGTCCATCCTTCACTGACCCAGTAATGCCTGCTCCTGTCCTTTGCAGAACGGTGGTCATGCCAATCGCAAATGAGTTTGCCCCAGACGTGGTACTGGTGTCATCAGGCTTCGATGCTGTGGAAGGCCACCCCACACCTCTTGGAGGGTACAATCTCTCTGCCAAATGTAAGTCACTAGAGTTGACCTTCCCCAGTCTTCTGTCTGCTCATCCCACAACTGGTTTGTGTTCTGTGTGAGGCAGTAGGAAGGCCATCGCCTTCATTTCTTACTCAGAATGACTCCATAGACTCCACCCTGGAGACAGAAACTCAAAGGGCAAAGTTCACAAGAGCATGCACTAGGTTCTGTTTGCTGGGCTGTGGACACTTGACGAGTATGCAGCCCTTCTCCAGGTATGAGAGGGTGGACATGTGCTTGTGCTTGTGCATGTGCTTGGTGCTGAGTTTGGTTCTCTGCTAGGGAAGCAGGCCATCTAATCTTTGAATAGGCTGTGGAGCTGGAGGAGGAACCAGCCAAGAGGACTCGTATCGTACAGTTGCTGCACCTCTGCATGGAAGAACTTGCTGACACTGTTGTGACCTCTGTACGCTCTGCTGCAGCACGTGGCAAAGATAGGAAAAGACTCTGGGTTGTAACACCTCGGGTCACACAGTGGCCTGGCAGTTTCTCACCCAGCTGTGATGCCCAGAGGCAACAAAGAGCCTAGGGTCCTGAAGCCTGGCCTTACGCTGTCAAGGCCCTGGCATCCTGGATCCGCTCTCTCCTCCCTGCCCATCCATCAACCATCTAATCAAGGAAGAGAGTCTGTCTCTCACCTTCACCAGGGAGGGTGTGAACTCAGCAAGGGAGTAATGAGCTAGGAGGTGGCCTTTGAGGAACCAGTGCTCTATTACAGGGCCCTTGGAGCCCACTGCTCCTGCTGTGGGGTCCAGATGGGCAGAAAGCACCCACCATACCTCATAGTCTCTGTTACCACATTCTGAGCTGCTTTTATATCCTCCAGTCCCAAGTGGAGGTATTTCCATCAGACACACCTGGGTTTGCCATCAATTTCTGCCCACTGGCATTTCACAACTAGCAGGGTGTACTCCCTGGTATGGACCTGTATCTGGTCTGATGAGTAGGCTAGTCAAAGCCAACATCAGTCTACCTGGCTGCGTGTAGTATCCCCATGCCCACCAAATGACATGCCAGGTCAGGGTTGTGAACAGAGAGAAGACTCTGTGACCCTAGATGGAAGCAGATACCCAGACATGGATGTGGGAAAGCCCTGCCACCACACACGGCATTCACATGGGCATGCTTCTTCCTACTTGTGTATGTTTGCACAGAGCACATCAGATGCCCAGGAAGGCAGGTGGTACAAAGCCTTTGAATGGGGTTGGCTGCATTATAAAGATCAGCACTGAAACCAGAATTCACATTCAGTTGGATAAAGATGAAATCCAAAAGCCTAACTAATGGATGTGTTAATCTGACCTCAGTTACTCGAGATGACATCTCAGCCCCGGTATTTAGAAGAGGTGCTGTGTGGAGTTTCTGAAGATGTCCCTTTGCCTTTGCAGGTTTTGGGTACTTGACGAAGCAGCTGATGGGCTTAGCTGGTGGCCGGATTGTGCTGGCCCTTGAGGGAGGCCATGACCTGACGGCCATCTGTGACGCTTCTGAAGCATGTGTTTCTGCTCTGCTGGGAAATGAGGTACGGAGTCGGCAAAGCCCTGCAGAATGCGCCACAGGCAAAAGGCTGCTGCCACGAGCTCAGATGGTGGAAGGCATCGATCTCTGACCTGGGTGGGCAGTTCACCTGGCATTGGGCTGCAGCTGTTCCCCACCCCATGTAATAGGACTGGTTGACTTTGGCTAAAAGGTGAGCAGCAGGGACAGAGAGCTGGCCCAAGACTCTCGGAGGTGCTTGCTGCAGCTTATTCTCCTTTCTGTGTCAGTCACATCATGGATAATGTGATGGCCATGTTTCACCTTACTCGCTGGTCTCCATTATGGACAAGGTTTCTCTGGCAGCTTGTCCATGGGCTTGGGTGGTGTCTATTAGGCCCTATTAGTTAGGGTTTCTGTTGCTGTGACAAAACACCATAACCAAAGAGCAAGTTGGAGAGGAAAGGGTTTATTTGGCTTATATTTCCAGATCATAGTCCATCATTGAGGAAAGTCAGGACAGGAATTCAAGCAGGGCTGGAACCTGGAGGCAGGAGCTGATGCAGAGACCATGGAGGGGAGCTGCTTACTGGCTTGCTTTCCCTGGCTTGCTCAGCCTGCTATCTTATAGAACCCAGGACCACCAACCCAGGGATGACACCACCCACCATGGACTGGGCCCTTCCCCATTGGTCACTAAATGAGAAAATGCCTTACAGCTGATCTCACTGAGACTTTTCCTCAGCTGAGGCTCTTTCCTCTCTGATGACTCTAGCTTGTGTCAAGTTGACACACAAAACCAGCCAGTCCAGGTGGTATCAGCATGCTCAGTCTGAATTATTAGCTCGGGGCTGGGCAGGACCCTTTACTCAGCAACCATTTGCCTTCTCCATTCAGGAGTGATGCTTATGGTCAGGACTCTGCACAGCCCCAATGGTGCTACAAGACCAAGCCAGGGATATTGGCCTGCATAGCAGTCTTCAAGGGTCTGGTCAAATAAAGCTTTTGAGGGCTACAGTAGAATGAACACTATGTGAATTCCCTTCCACTCTGCCTGATGAGGGTCCCTTGTTGACATTCCTAGCTCCTTGTGTGTAGGCTACGACGAGGGTGAAATTTTCCCAGAACCCTGGAAGCCCCTAATGCATGTGGTACAGTTGACACATACCTTCCAGAGGAATTCCCAAACCTTGTATCTGTCTAGGGCAGTGATTCTCAATCTTCTGATGCTGTGACCCTCTAATACAGTTCCTCATGCTGTGGTGACCCCCAACCACGAAATTCTTTTCATTGCTACTTGATAACTGTCGTAGTGTAAATCTCTGTAACGTAAATAGAAATGGAAACATCTGTGTTTTCCATTGGACTTAGGTGAGCCTGTGAAATGGTCGTTCAACTTCCAAAGAGGTTGAGAACCACTGTTCTGGGCCCTTCTGGTTGGGGGTGTGTGTCTGTCTCCCCACTTGTGCAGTTATTGCTTCCTAGAGCTTGCTCACATTGCTCCCCTGTGGGTGGTGTGCAGGTGCTAGGAAGGAGCCAGCCGGGAGTGGGGAGCTCGGTGCTGGGGCCTGCAGCCCACGGCTGCGGCTGCACCCTCAGGTAGCTCAGACTACCTCAAGTGTCACATACAAGCACCTTGGCCCCTAGGGGATAGTGGCAAGTGAGTCAGCAGCTCTGAGGTCTGTGGCTTCTGCTGCACCTGTTCCTCATGGCTTCTGGAAGCTGCTGCCCAGTGAACACATCAGTTCTCAGGCCATCCCTGCTCTGTAGTCCGGGGTCTAGATGGCTCTTAACAAGACCCTGTCTGAGCTGGTTTGCCGACACTGGCAGTGCCAGCTCCGGGTGGGGTTGCTCAGGATTGCTCTGAAGGCAGTTGAGGCTCTGAATGTGTGAGGAGTTGTCAGAAGTCCACAGAAGACCAGAGTCTCACAGTTAGGTACATTGTCTGTGATCTGCTCTGCGTGTTTTCTTCTAGAAAGCACAGGATAGGAGGTGAGAGTAAAAACTGCTGTCCTCACTGTGTATAGCTTGTAAGCTTGGAACCAAAATGCATGTTCCTGTTTTGGTGTGAACCCCATTATAAGAGAACCCTCCTAGTCACACCTGGCTCCAACCTCTGCCCCCATGCCACCAATGGGATATTCCTTCATCAGAAGAAGTGGGTGCACACCGTAGCCAAGACTTTCCATCAGGCCCAGGGTACACTGACCAAGCACTGAGCCCCCCTCTGCTCTCGTGGCTGCCAAGCCTCCCTGCCCTCCATTGCAGCTGGCATGAGGGAAAAACGTCTAAGCACAACAGACAGCAGGTACCTGAGGGGGCGAGTCTGAGACTGCAGTCAGCCACAAGTGTTCACACAGCATTGCTGGGGAGTGGAATAGCAGAGGCCTTGTTCTGTGTTCCCCAACCCTGCCTGCCCAGCAAACTTACTCCCACTGGCGTCCCTATAATCAATCCTAAATGTGAAAGGGCCGCCAGACTAATTAGCACTGTTTTCCAGGATATGTTTCATGTGTACACAGGTCCCTACAACATTTGCCTTTAGACATTGTCCCTTATGGGAAAGACAAGAGAGGGGGCACAGGGTCCTCTCCTACTGTGTGACCTCTAGTGTAAGGGTAGTGAGGAGCCAGGGGTTCATAGGGAAGCTCAGGGTACTGGCCAGTGTTGGCTGCTATGGAAGATTGTTTGATAAATAAAACACTGATTGGCCAATAGCCAGGCAGGAAGTATAGGCGGGACTAGAGAGAGGAAAAAGGAAAGGACAGGAAGACAGGAGGGGAGACACCAGCTGCGTCCAGGGAGCATCATGTAGAGGCAACAGGTAAAGCCACGGAACACGTGGCGACATATAGATTAACAAAAATGGGCTTAGTATAAGAGTAAGAGCTAGACAATGGTAGGCCTGAGCTAATGGCCGAGCAGTTTAAATAATACAAAAGTCGGTGTGTTTATTTTATAAGTGGGCTCCAGGACTGGCAAGGATTGGCAGGAGCTAGAAAGAAACTCTCCAGCTACAGTTGGCAAACCAGATCAGATCAGAGAGGGTCTTATTAAGAGCCATCTAGACCCCAGCCTACAGGGGAGGGCACGGTGAGAACTCCTGATGTATTCATCGGGCCAACAGCTTTCAGAAGCCATGAAGAGCAGGTGCAGTAGGGGCCACAGATCCCAGACAGAGCTGATGACCCACTTGCCACTATAAACCAACAACTGTGATCCGTGCTACAGGAAACTTAGGAATGGCAACCAAGCCTCAGTTCCCCACAGCCTAGTGCAGATCCTGACCCCAGTGTGAGATGCTGGGAACTAGAGGTCAGTAACATAGGCACTGGTTAGGTGTCTGTAGCTCAGTGGAGACCTCTTGTGTATCTTGTCATGGAATTACGTGGATATCCCAGGAGAGGAGGGATGTAGCAGGAATCTTAAAAGTTCTTATTAATAAAATCAAACCTGAGGCCAGTTATTGTGGTGAACACTGGAAGATCAGAGAGACAGAACAAGCCACAGCTAACCTCACCTGGCCAACTTCTCAGTTGATCTTGTTTCCTCAGACTGGAAGCCTCTGTGTCCTCATATCCAAATGACTCTCAGCTGAACTGCTGCTAGAAGCCTGAAAGCTTAACCAGCCAAATGCTTCTAGTTTCTGGTCCTCATGCCTTATATACCTTTCTGCTTTCTACCATCACTCCCTAGGATTAAAGGCTTGCTTTCTGGGATTAAAGGCATGAGTCACAATGCTTGGCTGTATCCTTGAACACATGGATTTCTGCCTCTGGAATGCTAGGAGTAAAGGCGTGTGCTACCACTGCCTATCCTAAGTATCTAGTGGCTTTTCTTTTCTCTGACCCCAGATAAGTTTATTAGGGTACACAATATTTTGGGGAACACAATACCACCACAGAGGGAGGCTAGATAGTGTGAAGGGCAGAGCATGCCAAAGACAGGAGAACTAGGAGATAGCTGGGTGAAGGGCACAGAGAGGCTGGGCTCAAAAAGGCAGCATGTAGCAGAGGAGGCCACAGGGAGGGGGCACATGCATGAAGGATCTGTCTGAATCCCAGAGCTTCAGGGGTGGACTCAGCCTGCAGCTGATGGTTTCACACTGAAGAAGGCAGGAAGAGACAGCCAGAGCTGTGACCCCTGACCACGTGTTGAAAGAAGCTTGATGTGATGCTCCAGAGAGACCAGCTGGAAGTTCAGTTCTGACCACATCAGGCAGGTACCAAGAGCTGGGGTACTTCAGTCAGCAAGACAGTAGAGGAGCTCCTGAAGGGGTGAACAGGATGCCAAGGTGGCTTCGAGGGTTGAGCACAGAGCCTCAGGCCAGGTTCGGAATCAGATGATAAGGAAGCTAGACACTACTGAACTAGCCATGTTTTGCTGATGGCCAGTGGAAAGTAAGGAAGCTGTCACTCAAATGCTTCTTTTAAATAAGGCTCTAGGACACACACACACCACACACACCTCTGCATGTCTTAGGGGAAGATAGTTGTGACTCGAAGCAGATACTTGCTGATGCTTACTAAATGTAATCATCCCCAGCCAAGCACTACAGAACAGTGAATTATGTAAAAGTCTCCAATGCCAGGAAAAATAGCTCTGCCCTAGGGCCATTTCCACTTGGTACTGTTCATTGTGATATACATGAGCCTCCCATGCAAGCATCACAGACCAGAGAGAGAGACACGGGCCACAATATTGCAGGGTTGGCAGGCTGGTGTCTCCGGTCAAGAGTAGAATACCTGAGTTCTGTATGTCTGCCACATGAGGGACCTAGCAATGAGAGCTGGCCATCATGCCACCCCGTCAGGCTGCATGCCAGTGGCAGACCTAGGAGATTGGCTAGGCCTCAGGGTGAGACCCACAAGTGTGTCACTGGGGCAGTCATGCAGATGGCAGGCAAGCTGCACTCAAAAGTAGAATCTAGATCCGCAGTACCAAGAGCAGGTCACCCGGGGGGCCTGGCTCTGCGGTGTCCCTGTGGAGGTACAGAGGAGCTAGTGAGGGCTCTGGGCAAGTGGGGTGGAGTCCAGCTGATTCTCT